CCCCCTGTGAAATGAAAGAGGATGTGGACAAATACTTTGACCGGGGGGGAGTTGTCTTCTCCTTCCGGCTTTTGTCTTGTCCCTCTGCAATCTGTCCAATCCCAGCGAACAAAAGTCCCGTACATACCTTTGTAGCAATGCAAAACTCAGTGGGCTTTATTCATCCATCTGCTTACATTTAGAAAAACATTTTGCCCTACATGCAAACCACAACACACTGAAATGTTTATGGCCCCGGTTGCCAGCTTCTCTTATTGGCCTTGCTCCTGGGCCTCTGGCAGCAAGAACAGGCAGAGATAGGAAGGCAGCAGAGCTGCTGTCGACAGAAACCAGGGGGAGAAATGCTTCTGTAGCTTAACGGCTGCGTGCAGTCCTGCCGTTAGAGGCCCAGGAGCAAGACCGCGAAATCCGGGGGCACCTCAACAGTTCCACAATTGCTTCCGATGGCCCAGTCCATTGCATGCATGCCACAACCCCTAGCTTATACCGCAGCTGATGGACATTTTTTATTCTTGGAAGAGGAAGGAGGGAGGTGATTTCTGCTGAGCCCTTCCCACTGCAACTCCCCCCCGCCATGATGTTCATAAATGGGGGAGGAGAGGAAGAGAAGTCCCGCTTTAGAAACTCCGCTTGCAGATCTCCTAGGATACAAAACCATATCCCAAAATGCTTGGAGACCAATTCTAAGGTCTACTCAGCATTTAAGCCAATGGCACCTACTTCTAGCAAAGCATGCTTGGAACTGCAGCTCCTGAGAAAAAGAAGAAACAGTGTGTGGTGATGAGTCTTTCACCAGTCTCAAGGAGAGGCCAGGAGAGGCCCTGAGACTGGGAGATGGTCGGGGGGGGGGTTAGAATGTGCAATAAGCATCTGTGGGATGGGGAGGGCAGTGCTGGTTTAGCTGACACATCTGATCTGGAGGAAGAACACTGAAAATGAGACACCCAAGTATTTTGGGCCAAGCACCATGGAATGACGGATAGGAGCACCTTCCAAAACTAACGGAAAAATGCAGGCAGGGCTTTCTCCCTCATTTTGTCTCCATGCCCAGAAAACTTCACCTGCTTTTATGTGCCAGGCTTCTCAAAAGGGACAGGGGCAGAAGAAAAAATTAAAAGGTGGCAGACCCTTCAAGGGGCTGAGTGGAAAGCAGGGGCGTCGATCTCTGCTTGGGGGTTGGACTAGGTGACCTGCAAGGTCCCTTCCAACTCTAACATTCTATGATTCTACTGACCCTGTGCCTTTGAAAGCCGGACAAACATGCAGAAACTCAACAGACAAAAGCCCTCCAGAGCCAAGGCGGGTGATATGAAACACTTCACCTGCTTCCTGCCCGTCAGAAGGCAAAGGAGTGGGGTGGGGGGTGGGGGGGAGGCAAGACAACTCCTCCCTACAAAGAACACTTAACACCAAACAGGTATGGAGCAGGTGTTCATGAAGCTTAATTCCCTTGGGGTCCAGAGAATAAAATGTAAAATATAAAAACCCGTTCCGAAATTCCTACTGAGGTAATACGAGCATCACACTATATGAACATCTGTTTTTCAAAGAGAAATTCCATCAGAGGAATAGCTGGATTCGAGGCATCTTAGACAGCAGCAAGATGTTCGGGGTGGCAACTTCTTAGAGTCAGAGCTCTCTTTATCAGACACGAGGCGCAAAGGGAGCGTCGGCTCTCATAAACTCGTCCCCCCCCCCCCCCCCCGCCCCCCCCCCCCCCCCGTTGGTCTCTAAAGTGTGACTGGACTCTCACTGTTCCACTGCAGACCAAAACACCTCCCCAGAGAGAAATAACCCCGGACGGTCCTGTCTTTAAGCCTTCGGGCAGTCATATTAAACTGTCTCCCAAAGAAGCCGGAGTCCTATCAAAACTACCAGCTCTTTTGCCTGTAGCTTGCCAGCCTCCCTTCGTACTTCTCCTCTACCGTTTTCGTGAGATGCAGCCGAGAAGGGTCCCTGGCGAATGCAGCAGACCTCCTCAGAGGCAGAAGCTGCTGGGCTCAACCCAAGCGCCGAGACCTTGCAGCCTCAGCATGCGGCCAGAGGGGTCCCTCTCAGGCATGCTCCGTGGGGGCTGCTCCGTGTCCGTTGACGTGGGGGTGCGAGGGGGCAGGCCCCTGCTGGGGGGCTGGGATGGCTTGCTCCAGCATGGCAGCCGCCAGAGGCAGAGGGAGGCCTTCGGGGGAGCCCGCGGCAGGTTCTTGTCTCCAGTAGGCCTCACACAGTGGAAGGTCGTTGGCATCACACAGGCTGTAGCTTCCCAGCCGAAGAGAGGCAGGAAGGAGACGAAAGCAGAAGGGAGCAGCAGAGGGAGAGAGAGAGGGAGAAAAGCAAGAGAGGCAAGCGTTAAGAAAACAGCAAACTGTTGTTGGACGCAACAATAAGTTTCTCCCACCCCTTCCTTTTAGGCTTAGCAGCTTATCTTGAAGTAGACATGGCGATGGGGCAGTCTTAAATAACCTCTTTGGGTAAAACCCAGTTAAGTTGATTGTGCCTGTCAAGCTTGTTGTTTGTTTTTGGGCTAGGAAAGGTAAGAACTCTGAAAAGGCTTTGTCCTATGGGAAGAATCAGGAGTCCATGGAGTTGGACAAAAATTAATAAAATACTCAAAATACAGGATACAGGGCAGTGTCTTTGGCAATTAGATATGAGACCTTGAAGAAAATCATGCTTATTTATAACCCATCTTCATCTTGCTTTTTAACCAAAAAGCCAACATGGTTCAGGAACTAATTTTCCTGGAGGGTTGATCCCCTGAAAAGGGGGTGGGGCCCAGGAAAGGCCAAGGGGAATGAAAACGGCCGCCCCATACTCCTTAGGGGGCTGGAGTTGGCCTCCTTTGCCTGACCTCCCCAAATTGCTTTCAGAGCCAAAGACTAATTTTCGAGCCTTCTCACAGGCGGATGTCTCCGGGAAAGTGAGGACACTGCGGATGCAGATCTCCAATTTCACAGCAGGAGAAGAGGGGGCACAAATCTAATAAATAAATATAAATAAATAAAATGCTGTACTGGCACACTGGGCAATCTCTGCACATGCCATGAACACCCAGGGCCAAACTGGGGCACGGCCTGCCAAAGAATTTTCAAAGAGCAGGCTGAACGACTGGCACCATCTCTCAGTCCTCGTCCCAGGCCGGAGCCCCCCTCTGAAGTGCACAGGAGATGCAAAAGGAAGTAGAGGAGATACTGAAAGGCTGAGAAACAAAGAGAGGCAGAGAAGCAGGCTGTGCATGGAAAGGAGGGTAAAGGAGCCGCTTGCCCAAAGGCTGGGCGGCTTTGGAAGAAATATCAAATAAAACCAGTCCAGGACCGCCATGGCGGTTTGGTTCACGGCTGTTTTATTTAGAATAATATGCAGAGATTCTTGTGGGAGATATTTTACGTATAAGTAGAGGCTACACATATATATTTTAGCTATATATATGTGTGTGTATATATAGATACATCAAAGCATGACTCAGTGCTTTAAGGTAAATATTTTAAACTATTATGTAATAGCATCGTAACCTGTCAGCATTAGATCCAGTCACTATGGTGGGCCACGCAGAAAAAAACAAATTACACTTGAAACCCGAAGTGCGAGAAGTGGCACGAGGCCTGGGAAGTGGGGGGGGCCCTGGGAGGATGAACACACTCAGGGTCCAACCACAGCATGTAATTCCCACCCCCACCCCACTGGGCAGCCTGAAGCCTCTGGCTCCTCCAGGCTCCAGCACCAAAAGCCTGGCCTTCCACGCCGGCCTGGTCAACGAAGAAGGATGCACTGCCTGCTGCAGGCCACTCCCCACCCACTGGCTGCAGGGAAGCTGTGCTGGAGACCCCGTGGACCAGAGAGACACTTCCACCCAGATCCCAGGCTTCATCCCAACACGGCAGGAGTTTGGTTTCTTTGGTGCACATGACACAAAATGCCACTATAAACCTGAAGCCAGAAGGATGCAGGAAGGAAAAGGCTGAGCAGGAGGGCCAGCGGGGAACAGGTACACTGCCTCCAAGCATGGACTAGTGCTACTTTTGAACAGACTTCAGCTGCCATAAATATGTCATTGTTTTAAAAGCCAGACTACGGAAATCACTAAAAAGTTCAATTTTCTCTCTCAACAGCTAAAGAAACCTCTTTGGATAACTCTCACACGCACATGGAGGAGTCGAATGAAACCTCACAGAGGCAAAAGGATTTGGCCCGCCAGCCAAACAGCTTCCCCTGCCTGTGACAGCCACTGCCACCGCACTGGTCTTTGGCAACAAGAAGGAGCCGGCCAGGTGTTGCTGAGTTTAAATAGCTGATTCCTGTTTCAGGCACTTCTTAATTCCATACGTGTGACTACCTTATGGTAAAAAAAAAACAAGCCAGCTCTGAAGGTGAGCAACTTCTGTTGATGCAGCTACAAGATGGACACGGACTGCAGAGAGATCCCATTAGAATCAAACACCGCTGTCAACGTCTCGCTCTTTTAAAGCATCTTGATCTCCAGTTCCCCACCTCATCAAAAGCAATTAGTTGTTTTACATTACACACGCAGAATAAAAATATCCATGCTGTAATGCAACACCAAAGTGCAGAAAAGCTGTTCACCTGTATCAAGCCATCTGGGGAGCTGGAAGTGTGGGTAAAATTACTATAAAAGGCTTCTTGGGAATCATATTAAATATTTCTTTTCTGGTCTTGGAATAAAGACAAGTATATCCACCCCCACCCCCAAACAAATGACAGCTGATAACATCTGGGGCAGAAGCAATACACTGACAGTGGCTGGCAAAACCTGGAGATGCCATCTTGGGAAGATGCTCTGACCCTGCATCTCCATGAAGCAAGCCCCGATTTGTATCGCACGGTTTTGCGACCTAACTGGAGGTGCTGAATTGCAAGCAGAAAGTGCTCATCCAATTGCATTGGGGCTGGACCCCGCCCTCCGGTGCAGATTCAGCAGCCCAGGCATCGATGCTTCAGGGGGTCTACCAGGGCAGCTGCAGTCTGAGGGTCAGAGACAGGCCGGGGTGTGAGGTGAGTCTGGGTCACCCAGGGCTTTATTTATACCTGGAAGAGTAATATTCTTCTTCCAACTCGTAGAGGTCGATGGAGATCTCATCCCGCAGCGCGATCAGCTTCTTGTCGCACTCCTCCTGCAGGCCGTGCAGCTGTTGGCTACGCTGGTTGATGGCCTCGTTGACAGAGGGGAAGTCATTGAGGATCAGGAACTGCTTCAGGTCAGAGACGAGTTTCATGAGCGATTCTCCGGCTCGGACCTACTTGGGACAGTCGGAAATTTAAACAATACAGCTGCTCTCTCCCAAAGGCAATGGCCGTCTGTTTTGTTTTTTGCCATCAAGTCAGAGCTGACTTATGGCAACCCCACAGAGTTTCCAAGGCAAGAAGCATCTGAGGCAAACAGACGTTTGCCATCGCCTGTTTTTGCGTAGTCAGCCCGGACTTCCTTGGTGGCCTCCCATCCAAGAACTAACTAGGGCCGAACCTGCTTAGTTTCTGAGATCTGTCCAGGTCAGGGTAAAGACAAAAAATATACATGTTGAGTTATAAGCCAAAGGGGACAGAGAACACCTTTTTTGTTTGCATGGTTTTTCGAAGAGCTGCAAACACAGATGGCAGGAGGAGGAGAGATTTGATTTATACCCCGCCCTTCACTCAAGAGTGGCTTACAATCTCCTTTCCTTCCTCTCCCCACAACAGGTACCTTGTGAGGTAGGTGGGGCTGAGAGAGCTCTGAGACAACAGTTATCAGAAAACTTTGACTGACCCAAGGTCACCCAGCAGCTGCATGTGGACAAGTGGGGAATCAAACCCAATTCTCTAGATTAGAGTCCGCCACTCTTAACCACTGCACCAAACCGATAAATTTTCTACAACAATGTATCTCGCACAGGTGAGCTTGTTTGCTCACCTCCTCCAACTTTACCAGTACCCTCCTGACAGCTCAGAGGGAGGGAAGGAGAAGAGTCTTAACTCTGGGGAGCGTGAAACCCCTCAGGTGAGGAGTGGCCCTCGGATGCCCTTCCTCCTGCGACTTGCAGAGGGCAGTACCACTCCTTTAGACAGGCCCCAGTCCCTGCCTCACAGGGTACTGATGCGGCAGGAACCCACCTTGGTCCTCCTGGCCCATGTTCTCCTTCCCCATCTGCCAGGGGGCAGAATTAATCCCACTTGCCTTAGCAAACAGACCAGGGAGCAAGAGCAACAGACCACAGAAGGAAGAGGGAGGAAATCCATCACTGCGGCTAAAGGTGGAATTTGGGAGCCAGTTTGGTGTAGTGGTTAAGTGTATGGACTCTTATCTGGGAGAACCGGGTTTGATTCCCCACTCCTCCACCTGCACCTGCTGGATGACCTTGGGCAAGCCGTAGTTCTGGTAAGAGCTGTCCTTGAAAAAGAGCAGTTTGTGTCAGAGCTCTCTCAGCCCCACCCACCTCACAGGGTGCCTTTTGTGGGGAGGGGAAGGGAAAGGAGTTTGTAAGCCGCTCTGAGACTTCCTTGGGTAGTGAAGGGCGGGGTATAAATCCAATCTCTTCTTCTTCTTCTAAACCAGGTTAGGAACCCACCACAATGGGACCGGCCGCCCAGCATCCCCTTCCAGGGGCTCAGGCCACCCCGACTCACGATGTTTGCTGCTCTGACGTGCATCTCATAGTTGTCTTGCTCGCCTTGGGTTGCCCGAGACACCTGGGTTTCTTCTTCAATCTGCAGAAGGAAGTGGAACACGGCCAGTTTGGTGTCGTGGTGAAGTGCGTGGACTCTCTAATCTGGGAGAACCGGGTTTGATTCCCCACTCCTCTACTTGCACCTGGCTGGATGACCTTGGGCAAGCCGTAGCTCTGATAAGAGCTGTTCTTGAAAAAGAGCAGTTTCTGTCAGAGTTTTCTCAGCCTCACCTACCTCACAGGGTGTCTGTTGTGGGGAGGGGAAGGGAAAGGAGTTTGTAAGCCGCTCTGAGACTCCTTCAGGTAGTGAAGGGCGGGGTATAAATCCAATCTCTTCTTCTTCTTGTGAACTTTCTAAATGGTAACTTCTTCATTTATTTTGTTTATACCCCACCTTTCTCCTCAACAGGAACCCAAAGCAGCTCACATTAGTCTCCTCTCCTCCATTTTAGCCTCACAATTACCCTGTGAGGTAGGTTAGAGTGACAAACCCAGCCAGCTTCCATGGCAGAGTGGGGATCTGAACCCGGGTCTCCAAGATCTGGTCTGACACTCTAACCGCTGCGCCCCACTGGCCTGCTTTCCATTCTACAGCAGGGTTTCCATTGCACTCAGAGGTTTTAGCTTTTATACAATTTTTCTTTGCACCTGTCACTGCTTTGCGAAGAACACCAACTGGTTTGGCATAACACCCATCAGCAAATGCTATTCCTTGTGCCGGGGATTTTAATGCCCCAGCTCTTAAAAAGGGTTCTGAATCTTCCCCCCGTCAGACTGGCTGGCAACCCCGACATTTCCCACCCTCCCTGCAGCACCTGTCTCGGCTCACTGAGTTGAGCTGCCTGAGTTATTTTAAAGCACTGCTGATAAAGAGTCAGGTCTGCAAAAACTGGGGAGCTCTAGCAGGGGAAAGAGGGGAAACAAAAAGAAGTGACTTTGTGAGGTTGTCTCCCCCAAACACACACCTTTGCGGTCTTGATGATCTCTGTGAAGTTGTCCATGATGGACTTGATATCGTCTTTCAGTCTTTTGTTAAAGGACTGAAGGAGAGTTTCTTTACTCTGAGGGAGGACACGTTGTTGTGACATTATGGGAGAGGAGATACTTTAGCTGCAAACAAAGGGGGGGGGAGGACACAAGGTGTTAGAAGGCAGAACCATCAAGGGCTGTATTTTCAAAATCTGTGTGTTGCAAAGCCAGTCATCTATCTACATAAAGGATTTACTTTGTTACTTCCCTTTCCTCCACCTATTCCCCCCGAGACTGATGCCAGATTACAGGAACACACATATATAAGCTTCAGCCCCCAAACAGCCTGGAACCGAAATTCAAAGAGCAGAATTTTTATTACCATGCCCTTTCTTGGCTCCATCTCCCAAACATGCAAACCAAAGATGTGGAAGTGAAAACCAACATCTCAGTCCTTCTTGAAACAACAGTGGCAGTTATTCATCTGGCAAACTGATCTTTCAACAGAAAAACCTCACCTTCTTAGCACACTTCATTTAATGGGAGTTTGTAGCATCCAGCTTGAGTCCCATTTTTTTAATAGCCTGTGCCATCCTAAACAGAGCCCACTGAAGGCTTAGAAAGGTGTGATTCTACTGAGGCCTGCACTGTCTTTTCCCACCAACACATGCAGTCCATAGCTTTACTCATTCTAGGCAGCAGAAGAAAACTGTAGGGAGAGGCAATGAACCACGGGAACCCCCAACAACAACGGCTGCATAACAGGTCGTTTTCCAACAAAGACCAACACCCCCCAAAATTTCAGCTTGGCTAAAACTAAGGGAAAAGCAGAAGTCCGAGGAGTGTAGTCCCGGGCCTCTCACTTGAAGCAGGCCAACCCAAAGTAGCCCGGAGAGAAAAAACCCGAAAGAGGCGGCAGAACAGCCAGATCGCCCTCGCCTGCTGGAAGCACCCACAGCTGCCCTGATGGCTTAACAATGAGGACTAGAACCCTCATTGCAGATTTAAACCATGCAGTTCCAAAAGAGGGCTTGAAAACCACAGAGGGGCGCCTTAAGTTGTGCTTCAACAGCAGCTAACTTGCATGAACCCTCCCCTCCGGAAAGAGTTGCCACCTCTGAATTAAGAAATTCACGGATATTTGAAGGTGGGGCCTAAGGAGGTCGGGGGGGGGGGAATCTCAGTGCGACCATTTTCTCCAGGGGACCTAACCTCTGCCGTCTGGAATCAGTTATAACCAGTGTTCCCTCTAAGCTGAGTTAGTGTGAGCAGGCCTCTAGTCGGGGGGGAGCTCTCAGGTACGGAGCTCCGGAAGAGAACCTCTAGACAAGACTCCACAGCTTAGAGGGAACATTGGTTACAACCAATGTTCCCTCTAAGCTGTGGAGTCTTGTGAGCAAAAATTGGTTGTAACCAATTGGTTGTAACCAAACTGGTTGTAACCAATGTTCCCTCTAAGCTGTGGAGTCTTGTGAGCAAAAATTCTACTTTGTGAGCTGCTGGTATTAAAGTTGTGAGCGATCTATTTGGTTATAACCAATGTTCCCTCTAAGCTGTGGAGTCCTGTGAGCAAAAATTCTACTTTGTGAGCTACTGGCATTACAGTTGTGAGCTACTGCATTAAATGAGTCTGCTCTGGAGCCCTCCTTCCTGAGCGAAGACAAAAACGTGTGAGCCGGAGGCTAAAAAACTGTGAGCTAGCTCACACTAACTCAGCTTAGAGGGAACACTGGTTATAACTCCGGGGGAACTCCAGCCCCCGCCTGGAAGTTGGGAACCCTATAAAACCAGGCTCCAGCTCCTCCAAACGAGGCCATTCCACCTGCAAAGCCCAGAATCATGGCCCTCCCCACTTTACCCTTGGATCATGGGCCGCTTCCTGCCTGGACCCGCCGCTGGACCTCACCTCGCTCTCATCAAGAGCACACGGGGAGCCTCAGGAAGTGACGTTCGGGGTAAGCCTCCATCACTTCCTTTTTCGTTTTCCCTCCGCCCCGGAAGACCTTGCCCCCGCTTCCGGTTTGAGTTGGCATGCCTGTTCCGGGCTTTTATAGAGAGAAATAGGGACACCTCATACCTGCTTTCGTAATTATTTAAAAAAAATCCTTATAATATGATAGAGAAATCTCAACGGGGACAATTCCAGAAATAAAAATGCATCACAAAGTCTGACTCCAGACTGGGCCCCTTCAAGACCAACAAAGTTTAATCCCGGGTCTAACCTTTTGTGTTAGGGTTGCCAACTGCAGATTGAGAAATTCCTGGAGACTTGGGGGTGGAGCCTGATGAAAGCAGGGTTTGGGAAGGGGGAGGCCCCACAGTGGGGCAGAATGCCATAGAGTCCACCCTCCAGAGGAGCCATTTCCTCCAGGGGAAGTGATCTCTGTTTTCTGGAGACCATTTGTAATTCCAGGAGATCTCCAGGTCCCACCTGGAGGCTGGCAACCCTGGTTTTGTGTGCGTGCACTTTGAAGACGTGTGCTTTGCACGGGAAACGTTTTACCTTGAATGAAACTCTGTGGGCCTTAAAGGTGGCCCTGGACTCAGACTTTATCCTGCTGCTTCTGACCGACACGGCGACCCACCGGAAATCCAAATACCATTTTAAAAAAGTGATTCCTTCCTCCCCTTGTTTCATTGCGCTGCAAATCCACATCGGCTCCAGCTTTTGGCCACCATGGTGCAAAAGTCCTAGAGACACCCCCCTTCCCCCTTCAGCGTTTCCTCGGGTGAGCTGGCGCTTTTGTCTCGCGTGCGACAGAAGGACAAAAAGGAGGAGGGGTATCGAAGCAAGCCCGGAAGTAGAGGGCGGTCGTTAGTCTGCCCCTACCTCTACGGCCTCCTACCGCCGCTTCCCGCGCGATTTGCGTCGGCGCTCTCGCGGGAGCTGGCGCCGCTCGGGTTATATTACCCGGCATGCCTTGCGCTCCTCCTTTTTCCTCCCGCGAGACAAGATGGTGAGGGGCGGCCGGGATCGGGTTTAATGGCGGGGCTGCGGGAGGCTCTCAATCCATCGCCATCCGCCCTTGGGCCGGGGGCCGACTGGGCTGCGGCCGGTGGGCGAGAGACGGGGCAGGCTGGCGCCTCTTTCGGGGTTGATATCTGTGGGGCGGGGGCGGTTAAGCGTCTCGCAGGGGCCGGTCCCGGCCGAGGCCTTGGCCGGAGTGTTTCCCCCCTTGGGCACCGCCGGGGACGTGTCTGCCCTTGCGCTGCGTGGCTGCTTCCGGGCCGCGTTCGCATCGGAGCCGGTGCTCGTGGCCAGGAGGGCCCCCCGAACGCAGGAGAGGGAGGCGCCTTCGCGGGGTTTGCTCTGCCGACGGGGGCAATGTCGCTCACAACGTTAATACCAGCAGCTCACAAAGTAGAATTTTTGCTCACAAGACTCCATAGCTTAGAGGGAACATTGGTTATAACCAATGTTCCCTCTAAGCTATGGAGCCCTGTGAGCAAAGATTCTACTCTGTGAGCTGCTGGCATTAACATATTGAGCAGGAGATTTGGCTGCTGCATAAAATGAGTTTGCTCTGGAGCCCCCATCCTTCCTGAGCTGAGACGAAACGGTGTGAGCCAGAGGCTAATAACCTGTGAGCTAGCGCACACTAACTCAGCTTAGAGGGAACACTGGTTGGGGGAGCTCTGGAGGGGTTCACGTTTGCGGCTGGATTCGGGGCTGCACCGGGCAGGGCCGGCTCACTCACTAGGCGAACTAGGCAATCGCCTAGAGCCGGAGGGCCCTTAGGTGCTCCAAACTGCACCTGGCCCCCTACTCTGGGAGTTTCTTGATTATTTGTGTTTTTCATTCTTCCTAAAATGCATTTATTTTTGAAAATTGGTGGGCGCAGGGGGGCCCCAGAAGGGATCCTCGCCCAGGGTGCAAAATAAGCTGGGGCCGGTCCTGGCACCGGGTGGGCAGAGAAGGCAATCTGGAGCGTTGCGGCCGGAGGTGGACTGACTCTCGTCTCTAGGACGACCTTTAGCAGGGCCCAGGTCTCTTAGGCTTCTAAGGGTGGTGGATGTAAATTCTTGTGTTGCAGTTATGGTCGGTATAACGTTGCTCTTTGTGCCAGAGTGTTCTTCCCTTGCGGGGGGGGGGGTACTTTGAGAGTTTGGCGGCTTCACATGAGCAGGTGAAGCTGCCTTATACTGAATCAGCTGATCGGTCCATCAAGATCAGTCTTCTCTACTCGGACTGGCAGCAGCTTTCCAGGGTCGCGGGCAGAGGTTTTTCATATCATCTACCACCTGGGCCCTTTTAACTGGAGTCAGATGCCCTTGATTGAACCTGGGATCTTTCGCATGCCGAGCAGAGGCATGGCTCTCAGGCAGAGGTCTTTCAGATCACCTACTGCCTGGTCCTTTTACCAGGAGATGCTGGGGATTCAACCTGGAACCTTCTGCATACCGAGCCGATGCACTGCCACTGAGCCACAGCCCTTCCCCCTTTGGATGCTGAGGTTTCTTTTAATTGCTCTCTCCTTCCAGAGGTTTGTAATCTGTAGAATTAATTGCTTTGCCATTTCTTAATATAGGAATAGAGGTTTCCCTTTCGGGAAGAAGAGATAAATGCTACTTCCCCCCCTTAGTGTATCCTTGTCTACTGCCGTGTGATTCTGGCTCTTTGGTTAGAAAGTGGCCATCCCAGAATTAAGACACTTAGAATACTTTGCCTTGGCTTCTGGTTGTTCTGTGAGTTTCAGGGGGGAGGTAGCTCTGGATCTTTGTGTACCTCTTTTGGGGGGGGCTCCTCCCCCCACCATGTGTTATTAAGATAATAAATTTATTGGGTTTAGAAGCATCAGATATGACTACTAAAGTGCAGTTTGATGGATCTTGTGTACCTGGCAGGGAGCTGCTGTTCCATTCCAAAAGCAAAGTTATTGTGGCTGGGTTCTGGCTCTTTGTGTACCTCTTTTTTTGGGGGGCCTCCTCCCCCCACCATGTGTTATTAAGATAATAAATTTATTGCGTTTAGAAGCATCAGATAAGAGTGCAGTTTGATGGATCTTGTGTACCTGCAGGGAGCTGCTGTTTCATTCCAAAAGCAAAGTTATTGTGGCTGGGGAAGACTGAAGGCTTCTGACATTTCAGAGTCCTTGAGAATTTTCTGATTCTTCTCATGTGCTGTTAAAGGTTCCATTGTTGGTACAGATCGTTGAGAAAAATATTTATGAATCTGCCTTGCCATAAAGGTGTAATGGTCGGGGGGGGGGACCTAGTTTCTAACTGGGATTGATTCTCTGCTTGGGGGGGAAGAAGGTGGCCCCGGCCCCTGCTGTAGTCAAGAAGCAGGAGGCCAAGAAGGTGGTCAACCCTCTCTTTGAGAAGAGGCCCAAGAACTTTGGCATTGGTGAGCATGTGGAGAGGCAGGGGAACAAGGGGGCGCGGGGATAAAGTGGGTTTATACCAAGTGACACTTAATAACTGATACGTTCTTCAGTAGTGGACAACTGCAAACCTATCATTCCCAGTAAGGGAAGAAAGTTAATACTGAAATGAGGGAAAATATAGAGTCTAGCTGTTTGGGAACGTAGTTGGATTCTTTATATTGCATCCCTTAATATATATTTTTTTAAATTTGAGTTTCGTTTTCATAAAGCACCTCAAACTATGGCGGAGGCATGCAGTGCTATTTGTAAGGTAAAATGTGTACGTGGAATTTATTCAGTCATCTGAATATGGCACATGGTCTCCAGAACTAACTTGCCTAAAGCTCTACGTTCTCCAGCTTGGAAACTTGGTGGTGGTTTAAAGTGAGGTGTTTGCTTAATTATAGGCATCTTTCCCATCTGGCTATCATGCAGTGGCAATTGCAGAAAAACTTTTTCGGTTTTCAGCTAGGCTAGAGGTGCTGAGAGGGTGGATGGCCACAAGCAAATGATGCAAATGAATATTTGCTATCTGAGTGACGTTGCTGACAAGATACCCACCAAGATCGCTGATGCTTGTGCCCCTTTGGCCCCAGATGCGGCCCAAATGTGGGTCAGGGAGTGGTGGTGAGTTGTGCGGTGTCTTTTCCAGGGCAGGATATCCAGCCTAAACGGGACCTGACCCGCTTTGTGAAATGGCCCCGGTACATCCGACTTCAGCGCCAAAGAGCCATCCTTTACAAGCGGCTGAAGGTGCCCCCAGCAGTTAACCAGTTCACACAGGCGTTGGACCGGCAGACAGGTAAAGGGCGTGTCAGAGCTTTCTGGCTCATAGCTTGTGGGTGCTTTTCTGGCTCCGAGTGATATGCAATTTTAAAGGAGTGTGGGAGTTCGGAAGGTGAAACTTGGGGTGATGGGGTGGGCGGTATTGATGCAAATACTGTCAATAGCTCAGGCAGCAGACTCCCCAAACTGGATTTTTAAACATTCAGGGTCCTGTTTGGCCTGCTGCAGGGGGTTAGTAACAGGTGCAACTTTAGGAGTCTTTGTAGGCCATGTGCCTTTGCTTTGTGCCTGTGGGCTAGATCCTGACTCCTAGGACAGTTGTGTCACCTATGTGGGCACACATTCAACTGGCGCTACGCCAATTGCACTGGCTATCGATTATCAGATCCGCTTCAAGGTATTGGTACTGACTTAAAGCTTTGCGCGGCCAGGGACCAACATACCTAAGGGATCGCCTCTCCCCATATGTGCTTTTTCTGGCCTGAACAAGCTCCCACTTGAGATCAGGGCCCTGCGGGACCTACCACCCTTCCGCAGGGGTTATAAAACTGAGCTTTTCCACCAGGCCTTTGGATGAGGTGGCTGGCCTTCCATTTTCACGCAGCCCAGATCAAGAAGACCTAGGGATCTAGCGGCACCAGTCTTGGAGTCTGTACACTTAAATTGCTAGTACTATGTATTTTAAATTATACTGTTTTTAACTGTTCTTAAATATTGTATTAATGTATTTATTTATTCACCCATTGTAACGAGCTGTAGGCTTGTGAGGAGGGTGAAATACACGTCTAAATAAATAAGTTAGTGTTTCTACTGGAAGGTCCCTAGTACAAATCCAGCTGCTAACCAGCACCTTTGACTTGTGGGCAGAAGTTGCTTAGGGTTCATTACTGTTAGCTGGAAGTTAGGGACTTGAAAAAAATTATCTTAAGCAAAATGCAGATGAAAAGCTAGTGGAACTCAGGTAACTGGTACCAAGCAAAGGCCCATCCCAAAAAAGAGCAGCTTTCCTTAATGTGCAGATGATGCTACCAAATATTTGCTATCTGAGTTTCTTGATGACTCCCAACCACCAAGATCGCTGATGCACAAAGATCTCTCGTGGGGGTGGGGTGCAATAAGGCATTGACTGTCTTTTAACAGAATCTGCACTGTTTTAACAGCTACTCAGCTTCTGAAGTTGGCCCACAAGTACAGGCCTGAGACCAAGCAAGAGAAGAAACAGCGGCTGCTCGCTCGGGCAGAGCAGAAAGCTGCAGGAAAGGGAGATGTCCCTACCAAGAGGCCCCCAGTGCTGAGAGCAGGTAACGTCCTAGAATCTACATGGTGAAGCTTGAGTGACCAGGAAGGTCAGTCTTGTGTGTGCATCTTTCTCGGAAGAGTGTTGGAGGCTGAACAACAGGCTATTGCTATGATGTATGAATTTCTTCACCTGAGCTGCAGACTGAAGAGCAAAAACACGAGCTTTTTAACCCTGAGCTTTAGCAGGTTGTTTCCCTCCTGTTTTTTACTATGCCCAGCAACAGTTTTGATGGCTGGGTGTTGTGCATTAATACCTCTTGGACTATAATATAAGCCAGCCTTTCTAGGGAGAGTGATCTGTGAATTTTTGCTTGAAAAAAAATGTAATCCCCTCTGTTAAACTGATTCATTCTACAGGTGTTAATACAGTCACAACCCTGGTGGAGAACAAGAAAGCCCAGCTGGTGGTGATTGCACATGATGTAGACCCTATTGAGGTAAGCTTGCTCAAAGTTTGGAGCCCTTTGCCTCAAAGGTTCAGAACTTTGTTACCGGGTGAAAGAGCATTTGAGCGGTGATATGTATCGAAAAATACGTAGTGCTTATTGCCATACACACGTCATGTTTCACACAACAGAAAAGAAATAGAGAGGCTTTCCCATCCTCCCTGCTATATAGCCCTCCAAACAGTGGCTTCCTGAATGGTTCTTTGCAGAAGCACTGGGGGTAGGTGGGAGAGGGATTGGTTGACTTCTGGGTTCTGTCCACAGCAGAACTAAAAGCACAGTTGCCGGTGGGGGGGATCACTACATCCACTGGCAGCAAATGCTATGATTTAATGAACTGTTGAACAAGTTTCTCCTTTTGTCCTGAATCCATTGCCTATCAGGCTCGTCGTGTGCCCCAATATACAGTGCAGTGGGAGAAAACGTTCTGTGTCCACTCTTGAGAAGCCCCAGACTCTTCACCTTTCCTCATAGGAGAGTTGCTCCAGCTGCCTTAATCTTCTTGATTGTCCTCTTCTGCACTTTTTACAGCTCTGGAACATCTTTTTTAGGTGTAGAATCCAGGGCTAGCCTGGTCTGGTCAGATCTCGGAAGCTAGGTAGGGTCGGCCTGAGAAGTCCAAGGTTGCTATGCAGTCGGTGGCAAACCACCTCTGAACGTCTCTAGCTTTGGAATCCCTCTGAGGGGGTCCCCATGTCAGCTGCTGCTTGACGGCACTTTCCCACCACCACACTCAGAGCTGTCCCATAGTATTCCAAACGTGGCTGCATCGTAGATCCATGCAAGGTCATTATAGTACTGGCCGTCTTGTTTTTAATCCCTAGCATGAAGTTTACCTTCTTCGCTATCGCTGTGCACTGACTTGAGATTGCCATTGAGTTATTCGTCAGTTCAGACGCCGTTGCCATATGTACGTCACCTTGCACTTACATTGGACATCATTTGCCGTGTTGCTGCCCACTCACCAAGTTTGTAGCAATCACTTGTAGCTCTTCATAGTCTATTTCGGTTTTCGAGAGCCTAAACTTCATAGCATCTGCAAGTTGGCCACTACTCTTCTCAAATGTTCCCTTGATAAACTGTTTACAAACCAGGTAAGTAGCATTCCATCAGTGGCTGCTACCAGCAAGGTTTAGATGGAACACTATGTCTGGGGCTGTGATGCTCTGTATTCTTGGTGCCTGGGGGGAGGGCAACAGTGGGAAGGCTTTTGGATTTCTGGCCCCACTGGTGGGCCTCCTAATGGTACGTGGGTTTTGGCTACTGTGTGACGCAGAATGTTAGACTGTATTGGCCATTGGCCTGATGCAACATGGCTTCTCATGTTCGTTCTTCGATCATCTACAGATGGTTGATAAAACAGGATTTCCCTTTGCAGGAGCCAAGCCAATATTAGGTTTTACTGATTTACACAGAACAGATGTTATGCTAACTGCCCTGTAATTTCTTCGCTCTCCCCTCGATCCCTTTGTAAAAAATCTGCTCACAAAGCAGGGTGTGGCTATTGCAATGATGTTTGAATTTCTTCACCTGAAAAATACTCATGAAGAGCAAAATGATACGAGCTTTTTAACCCTGAGCAGTGGCCTACCCAAAAAGAAATTAGCAAGCTTGTTGCAAAGACCCCAAAACCGTTGGCTCCTGCACGTGTTAGTAAGTGTGTTACCTGTCTTCTTTGTTAAAGCTGGTGGTGTTCCTGCCCGCCTTGTGTCGCAAAATGGGAGTCCCGTATTGTATTATCAAGAGCAAGGCCAGGCTGGGCCGCCTTGTCCACCGGAAGACCTGCACCTGTGTTGCTTTCACACAAGTTAACCCGTGAGTAACCTGTAAAGACCTTAGAAGAAACCCATTTGGGGGGTGGGGTCAGGCAACAGCTGAGCACTGGGCTTCTGGCAGTCTTGTAAGCGCCTGTCTCTCGTGACATTTGCAATATTCAGTCTGATAACAAAGCAGGATGCCAGTGGTATCTTCAAACCTAACTTGGCTTCCTGTTTGCTGCAACAGATCAACATAGTTGCTATAATTACGCTCTGATAAATGTAGGACTCCAGAATCCCAAATGGCCAACCCTCAGCAAGTACCCATGCCCACAGCTTTGCACAGAAAGCTGAAAGAATGCCGTTACGCTAAGACCTCTTCTGCACTGAAAAGCTATGCTTTTAATGGTTCTGTTTAGGAAGGTCCCTTGTCAGTGAAGACTGGTACCGGCATGTGGTTCTCCTTCAAAGCTGTTCTTGCTTTGCAATTGTGTTTTTTCCTCCATAGGGAAGACAAAGGAGCCCTGGCTAAACTGGTGGAAGCTGTGAAGACCAACTACAATGAGAGATATGATGAGGTAAGCGTGTGCTGATTTGGTTCCTTAGGGCTAGCTATAGGGCTGTCTTCCAGTTCGTAAATGCTGGAAAAGCTGTTTCCCCATGCTTCTTTTGGTGCAACGTGGGCCACTGTCTGGTTTTATTAAGCTCACAGCAAGTAGATGAATAAGGATTAATTTTGGGGGCTGGGACTCTGCCCCAGACTGTGTGTAGATGTCATGGCACTATGTGGACCAAAAGCGATGGAAAGGAACACAAGGCAGTAGTCGTCATAAATCCAGCTTGTTGGTTTTAACCTGGGTAAATGTTTCAGGAAGTCTCAGCATATGAGATACAGTTTAAATGTATGACTACATCTGAAATGAACCTTTCCATTTCCTTCCAGATCCGCCGTCACTGGGGTGGCAACGTCCTGGGGCCCAAGTCAGTGGCTCGGATTGCCAAGCTTGAAAAAGCCAAGGCTAAAGAACTGGCCACTAAGCTCGGGTAGATGGATCAGATTTTCCTCAAATTTTTCTGTACATAAAATAAAATTGTAAACAAAAATGGAGTCTTTTATAGAAGTTATTATCCCTTGTAATGGCCAAAATGACTGTACCGTGTAAGAGGATGGTGTTATTGACTAGTACATACACACACACACATTCTACCGGCCCAGCTGGAGGGGCTTTGACTACCTCCCCCTTTAGGAGCTGTCTGTTGTTGCACAGTATCCTGGTTTCAGGTGTCCTGCACGTTCTTCCAGGAAGGAGCTCCGCTAGATAAAAAAGACACTCAGTTCACTATAAACTTCTTGCATTCTGTCTTTGTAACTGCCCTTGTTTTTTATTGCAGAGGAAGGTAGGGAAAAATGCAGCCAACCCCATCTTCAAACTTCTTACATGATGTAGTACAAAAACAGTCGCAGGGCTTCAGTCTTGGTAACCAGAAAAATGACAAAAAGCTGAAAACCATCTTATGATTTATTAACCAGTCCCATATTTCAAGAAATCTGATGGCTTGGGTCACAGTTCTGGCATTCTGCCCCAAACTTTCCTCAAACTGCTGTACAGTCACTGATTTTTTCCATTTGCTTCTGAAGCTGAAGAACAAGAACCTTCGTGCCAAGAGTGGCATCCTGTTTTCTCCCCTTTCAGCTCTGCCTTCTGCATTTAATGAACCCTGATTGGTAAACCTTTGATCCAAGTAACCTCCTGGCCCTCCCAAGATTAATTTGTGCTTACGACACCTGTAGCCAGCTTCCAGCAGAACACCTAGACACTGCCTTCTAGCCATGATCAGTGAGTGACCTGTGAAATAGTCAGCTGCTTTGTGACTATTCTGGCTGAACAAGACAGCTGCTCTTACAAGCCACTGCATTAAGGAACTGAATCTCAGAGGTGCACTTTCTGGATGAACTTCTTGTACCACATGTACGATGTGGCTGCACACAAGCCATACCTGTGGAGAATGAAGAAACAAAAAGTTCAGGAGAATCCACCAGGCTAAACTTTATGTACATACGGTTCAGGGCACACAGTTAAATAAGTTCATGATCCTGTTCTCTGGCACAAACCCAAAACTAGAGCTCGGCAGTGTACATGATTCTTCACGTTTTATAACAATCCTGTGAGGCAGATTAGGGGAAGACAGTGTCATTGGCCCAAGGGTACCCAACAAGCTTCATGGTGCAGTGAGAATTTAATGATACAGCTCTGTCAGCCTAAAGACCATGAGCTGCATCACACTCATTTTGTATCAATACTCTAGAAACAAATTTTGCCACTGATATGGTTGCATTAGGATACGACCCAGCCAGCAGGGATTTCAATTTGTTGTGTCTGTCTGCCTGATGCAAACAACAATGTCCTATCAGAATAAGGCCCACTACTGTGTCAACCATATAATCAGAGAGGTTTGAACCTGGCTCATCCTAAACACAATGGCTTGTGATTAATCAGGGGTGCCAGGGTTTTCTACACCCAATGATATAGTTGATAGTTTCACAAGCCCAGACCTGCATGACTTGCAGGGAGGTATCGTGCCTGACTAGCTTCACCATCCCACCTTCTTCCTAGCCTGCCCACCCACCCAACACTCGCTTCAATGGCCCAGCCACAGTGGAAAAGCAGGAGCTTTATTCAGTGCTTGGGCAGACGACAGTCTTTTATTTTGGGGGATTTAAACTCCCACTCCCTTATTTTCAGTTTGTAAATTTTATTGAAAAACCTTGGGAGAGGGGGGTCCCCAAGTTTACTGTCAGTGTGGCCCTAATCCACAGATGGGGCCACACTTCACTATTGAAGTATATGATGATGCCCTGCTTCTTCTCCCCAGAGGAGGACCCTAAAGGAGCTTTGCCGCCTACAGCAATTCTGTGAAGGTAAGCTGAGAGAGTGAGGATCCAAGCCTGGGTCTCCTTGACCCTCATCCAGCACTCTTAACTGTTCCATCATGCTTAAAGGTAAAGGTTCCCTTGCTCGAAAGCCAGTTGAATCCGACTCTAAGGTCTAGGGTTGCGGTGCTCATCTCCATTTCAAAGCCAAAGAGCCAGCGCTGTCCGAAGACGTTTCCGTGGTCATGTGGCCGGCGTGACTAAACACCAAGGCGCACGGAACGCTGTTCCCTTCCCACCGAAGCAGTACCTATTTATCTACTTGCAATTTCTTGCTTTCGAACTGCTAGGTTGGCAGGAGCTGGAACTAGAGACGGGAGCTCACTCCATCATGCGGCACACTCGGGTCTCGAACTGCTGAACTACTGACCTTCCACAGCCTGCAGTTTAGCGTCTTCACCACTTGAGCCACCGCAGCTCCTCCTTCATGCTTAACAGTTCCTTATTTCTCATAGGCCACTAAGAATGCAGAACATGGGCCAAGATCCTTGCAAGCAAGTCCTGCTACTGCAGCTACCGCTTTCTCCACACTTCTCGGTTTTGCCCTAGGCTGCCAGTTGCTGACTCCACTGACAGATTCTCCACTGGTTGTGAAGGTTAACCCTCCCACTAGATACAGCCATGCGAAGTGGGCGGCATCCATCAGCTCTCTCCTGTTGCTTCCACTGTGGCCAAAACCAGGAGCAGGTGGACAGGTAGGATATCTGTCACCCACACAGGCACATGGCATCTTTCATCCCTTTAGGTCCCAGCAGACAGGTAGAAGCCTGGCTTCCCAGAAAGTGCCTATGCTAAAAAAACCAGTCAGACATGACATCCATACCAGCCCTGAAGAGCTGGGTGCTGGAGCAGCAGAGATTCATCTGGGATGCTGAGTCTGCTGATGACCATTCATCACCAGGATACCCTCCATCCATTAAAGGAGGACAAAACACGGGATTTGCCACTAGAGGATTTGTATCAGTGGACGGGAGGTAGTCAGGAGCCTCACCTACATTCAGCCCTGGGAACGTGGTAAAGCCCAGTGGTGTATGACCCCCCCCCCGACTCCCTGCAAAGAGAGAAGGCTTACTCACCAGGTAATAATATACTGCATGTGCTCATTTCTCAAGGTCACTCTTGTCTGGCCTCCAATTGGCCCCCCTGGGACTGTGCTCTCTATGGATACAGGAGGGAAACAGAAATGACTCGTAACTATACAGGAAAAGAAGACATGCATTTATTTGAGAAACTAGTAATAAGGCCTGTTGTGGAAATAAACACGAGCTCTAGAAAGAGACTTGGGTACTCAGCGTCAATATGCTGTACTGACCTCAGCATAGAATGATGACGGAGCCCACCACTTTCTTCAGGGGAACTGATCTCTGCCATCTGAAAAGCAGCTGTAGTTCTGAGTGATCTCCACTCCTCACCTGGAGATTGGCAGCAGTGGTTCCCCAGGAAGAAATGGCTGGTTTGGAGGGCATTGTAGCTGTCTGAGGTCCCAACCCTCCTCAAACTCCACCCTCTCCAGGGTCCACCCCTCAAATCTCCAGGAGTTTCCCAACCTGGAGCTGGCAATCCTATCTCCTTCCCAGCCAATCATCAACCTACCTTTATTTGCCCCTCTGACTTCGGCTTTCCATCTCTCCCCCCACCTGCAGCCTCTACCCTGTCGTAGGGGGGCCATCTCACCAGGGTATAAGGACACAGAGTCCACCATTTTCTCCAGGGGAACTGATCTCTGCCAACTGGAGAACAGTTGTAATTCTGAGTGATCTTCAGCCACAACCTGGAGATTGGCAACAGTGGTTCCCCAGGAGAATAGCACAGTCTTTCTCCACAGTGGCTTACATCATTCTCCTCTCCCCCTTTTGATCTGCACAACAACCCTGTGAAGCACATTAGGCTGAAAGTCTGTGACTGGTCCGAAATCACCCACTCAGCTTCCATGGCAAGAACCTGGGTCTGCTCTGAAGTGCTAACTTCTATGCCACACTGCCTGTGGTATTGCCTCATATCACAACTGAACTACAGACAATAGATCTCTCTCGCCCCCTGGAGAAAATAGCTGCTTTGAAGGGTGGACTCTATGGCATTGCATTCAGCTGAGGCCTCTCCCCTCCCCAAACCCTGGCTTCCGTAGACCACCACAAAATCTCCAGGAATTTCCCAACCTGGAGCAGGCAACCCTAGTCAGGACTGGCCCCAATGAGTTCCCTACAAAGGCCTGGAAAGGGCCTCCTGTCTTTGCCTTTTTACTGACACAACCAAGCCCAGTTGCCTAGTAACAGTCACTGAGGGAAAAGTTAGTCCCACGGGAGCCAAGCAGGAGAAGTGTCTTTGTTAGGAGAGACAGCCGTTTTGACAGTTTATTCTGTGAGGGAAGAGTGTCCAGGCTAAGAGTGGGCAGGGGAGAGGAGCAGACCCAGCACCCAGCCAATGGCACACGAGTAATCTTGAAGGGCAATTGATGGGCCAATGGCTGATGGAGTGCACAGCACAGCCAATTCTCCAATGCATTACTGGAATTATACACACACACACACTAGGAATAAAGCCCGTTGCGGAATGAAATGAAACGGTCTCTAGTAAGAGGGCCTGGGAGAGTGCTGCAGCCTGCATCAGCCCCCCCCCCCCACCCGGCAACTACTGGATGCAGGGTTGGCCCTCACCGAAGCCGGAGGCAGGAGTTAGGTGCTGTGGCCGCTCCTGACCTCTCCAGAAGAAGGGGCGTCATCGTCCTGGTTGTCCAGGCCCACCAGCGGTTAGAGCAGTGGCCTGCTGCCAGCCGTGTCCTGGTTCCTGCTCACGGGATCGGCAAGTAGGAGGTGGTTTGTGCATCGGCACATCTGCAGCGGTGAGGGGTGGTGGTGGGTGCGGGGCCCGTAACAGAGCGCCAGCAGAGGCGCCTTGCCGGAGGATGATAGGGCGGCTGGCAGAGGGGCGGCCTCCCGCCGCAGAGGCAGGCACTGCCCCACTGCTGCTTCATCCTCGGCTGCTTCAGAGTAGAGCCGCGGCCCTCTGCCGCCGCCTGCGTCCCAGTTCCCACTTGTGGGGTCGGCGAGGAGGTGGTTGGTGCGGCGGTGCCTCTGCAGCAGTGAGGGCTTGTGGTGGCCCCAGGAGGGGCTGTAATGGAGTGTCTGGAGAGTCGCCTCGCTGGAGGACAACAGGGCGGCTGGCGGAGGGGCACTCTCCCGTCGCAACCACTGCTGCCGCCACCACTTCCGAGTTCGGTGGCGGCTAAGCAGCAGCACCACAGACCGTGAAGTGGTTGTAAAAGCGGGCTGGGGGCCGTCTCAGCAGCATAGCCAGGCGAGGAGAGGCGGTAGCATCCTCTGGGCTGAGGCGCCGCTGCTGCCGTCTTCCACTCGCTCACACAGGCCTCCAGCGGGGCTTCTGAACCGCCTGGCCCGACCTCCCCGCAGCCCAGTGAGCGCCCTCAGAGGGCAGGCGGTGATGTGGCTTGGGGGCCCCAGGGCGGGTCAGACGGAGCTCCCCCAAGGCGCTTCCAGATACTCGCTAACTTGCCCAGGCAGCCATCGGCGTATGAGTACCCTGCGCTCCCCCCTCCACCTAGCCACCACAGATTTGTTAAGTTTTCTGGCCTCTTGCCCCGCTCCCGGCCTTCGTGCCAGTTGGTCTGGTGACCCTCTGCCTGCCGGAAGGTCCATCCCGTCAGTCAGCTGACAGCAGACTGAGGTCGAGAGAATTGCCACCGCTGCCATGGGCAGGACTCAGCAACGCAGCCAGCCAACGGAGGCAGTACTTTCTGATTGGCAGCTGAGGGAGCCAACTGATTTTGGCACGAATAGAACTTTGCCACCCCAAATCGCTTTTATTAATAAGGAGAGATAGGATACAATGCAGCACAGACTGGGGGCCGAATGATGTGAAAGGGATCCCCTTCCCCGTCCTCTGCCAACACCCGGAGGCTCCTCCTGTGCTCTTGGGAGAAACCCCTCTCCTTTCCATTAACAGCCATGTGTTATTTATCACCCTTGTTAACTGAGCTGTCCCACAAAGCACTAAGAATGCTTGCAAATGTTCTATGCAGCACAGCTACTGAACTCATTCAGCCTGTTCATGTAGGCTCTACAGTGGTCATAGGCAACCCACCAGACACCTCTCTCCTGAATTGTCCTGCTTTAAATTGGCCTCCTGCAACCCAAAAAGCAAGTCATTGCCAGCTCCCACAGAACTTGATCTTAGTAACTGTGACACTGCAGAACCCAGGGACCTCAGAGGAAAACAAAGTCAGGTCCCCACTCTTTGTAGTCCTCCGCACTGCCCTCATTATCAGTCCCAAAATTAGGAAGGGGAAAGTGGGGGGAGGCTTACTGTAATCCGCATCGATAAAAATGGGCTCAGCTCCGGTCACTCTTGCCATGGCTTCCAGGTCTCGGTAATGCCAGCGGTTCTGCTCCACGTTGTTCTCTGGGACAAAGGGCTTGCGGGTTTCAGACAGCCTCACCACTCCGGTGAGCTCCACTTCTTCCTGGATCTGAAACACAGAGAGTCAGATAGCGGCTCCCTTCTGCTTTTGCAAAACCCACTCAAAGATTCCAGCATTTCCAAGACCTCATCAGAGAATTCGGCAAGTATGCTGGCTGCCATTCTGTGAGACTACTTGTGGTGTTTCGCTATACAGTATTTGGTGTGTATTTTATCTCTGTGATTTAATGTGGGGTTTTATATGTCTGTTGCTGTGAGTTTAAAATGTAGGGCTGAAGAGTAAGAAAGGGGTGGCTGGATAAGTGACTGAAGTGGTTTATGACTGGATGGTAGCTGCACCTGAGGGGGTGGAGTTGACTGGTTTGTAGAGGGGGTGTTTGTTCAAAATGTGTACAGAAGGAGAATGAGAGCGGAAAGTGCAGAGAGAGAGGAAAAACAGGTTGCTTACCCCAGTAACTGGTGATCTTTGAGTGGTCATCTGTGCATTCACACCCATGGGATTCAGTGCGCATGCGCATGCGTTGGATCGATCGGTGCTGTAGCAAGCTCTATTTTAATGGATTTTTGTGCCCAGTCCCTCTGGGTATGCGCAGGAACCCCACCACACATGCCCAGAGGGGTGGGCACGGACATCCCACCAGTTCCTTCAAAGTACCGCCTCAATCAACCCACACGCAAAAACGCGTAGAAGCTGACAGCAGCGGGGAAGGAGGGCGGGTGGTGTTTATCTTCAACGTGGTCTCTGTGCTTCACGCCCATGGGAGACTAGCGAGCAGTAGCCTACCTAGAGGTGGGTGCTGACAGGTCAGTTACTGTGTGGCCGAAGACAGAATTTGACGTCCCATGTTGGTATTGGTGTTCTTGCGGACGTCTAGGGCGTAGTGCCTGATGAAAGTGTTAGGCGTGGCCCAGGTAGTGGCTTTGCAAATGTCCAGCAATGGCACTCCCTGGAGGAAGGCAGTGGAAGTCGCGACAGCCCTGGTGGAATGTGCCCTGATAGGGCCAGGCAAATGGCTGCTTCGCGAGTAGGTAGCAGAGTTGGATCAGACCAACGATCCACTTTGACAGGTGTTGCGCCGTGATGTGACTGCCTAGCCGTGCTGAAGCGTACGAGACGAACAGCTGTGGGTCTCGTCTAGTTGGATGTGTCCTCTGTAGCTAGAACAAAAGAGCCCTCTTGACATCCAGAGTGTGAAGCAATCTGTCCTCCTCTGACACGGGGTTCGGAAAGAAGTCTGGGAGGAAGACCTCCGCCTGCAGGTGGAACTCCGACACCACCTTTGGCAGGAAGGAAATGTCTGGCACTTAGCATACTCCATCTGGCAGAAGTGACAGGTAGGGTGTGTCGTGACGGAAAGCCAGAATCTCTCCCACTCGCCTAGCTGAGGTGATGGCAATTAAAAAGGCCATTTTCCAAGCCAGGAGTTTGAGCTCACACGTTGCGAGTGGCTCAAAAGGCTTCCTCGTCAACTGGCGTAGAACTAGTGGAAGGTCCCCTGGAGCAGCCGGAGTTTTGAGAGAAGGGTAGAGATGAAGCAAACCCTTTAAAAACCGTTTTGAAAGTGGATGTGAAAACAAGGTACATCCGTCAACTGGAACATGGTAGGCCGATAATGCGGCCAAATAAACTTTTAACAAGGAATGGGAAAGTCCAGAGTCAGCTAATGAGAGAAGAATACTAAAAACTCTATCAAGGCCAGCCGAGGTGGCATGAGTCCATCGCCCAGAAAAGAACAGAACTTCCTCCATTTATAGTCATACGACTTCCGTGTGGTTGGCATTCTAGAATTCAGGAGGACTAACTACACGGGAAGAGAAGTCTGTGGTGTTATGCGCCATGCCGTCAGTTTCAGCTGAGGGATATTATTGAGTAGAGGGAGGAAGGAGGTGACAGCGTTTTTTATGGCCAGGAGTACGAGGAAGTTTATGTGCTTTCTCCTTGTCTGTGCTTCCCATCTGTCTCCTACAGACAGCCCCATGGAGTGTGCACCCCATCCCGTCATGGAGGCATCGGTAGTCATGGTGACCTCTGGCGACGGAGGGTGGAAGGGCGCTCCCTGTAAAATATTTGAAGGAACAGTCCACCAAAGTAAAGAGTCCTGAATACTGGGAGGAGGGGATAGGACGACTGAATGTGTGTTGAGCGACATGTTGTAATGGTGGAGAAACCAAAGTTGCAAGGGACGCATCCTGAGTCTGGCGAAGACCAGAACCGACGTAGTTGCTGCCATTAACCCCAGCAACCTCTGGCTCTGAAAGGCGGTGACGGAAGGGTGGGTGCGGATGATGGTGGCGAGGGAGATTGTATCTGCTGCCCGGTCGTTGGGCAAGTAAGCCATGCATGCCTGTGAATCCAGCATAGCGCCGATGTATTGAATGCACTGGACTGGACACAAGTGAGATTTTTGCCTGTTGACCCGAAGGCCCAGGTTTTCCAGCAACGACAGAGTCTCTGTGACGTTTGAGACTAGGGCGGTTTCTGAAGGTGCCACCAGAAGCCAATCGTCTATGTAGGAGTAGATAAAGATACCCCGGAGGCGGAGGAAAGCAGCAACCACAATCATGGTCTTCGTAAAAACCTTTGGTGCGCTGGAGAGGCCGAATGGGAGTGCCATATACTGAAAATGGCGACAACCAATCATAAAGCGTAGGTATTGGCGGTGGGAGGGATGGATAGTGATATGGAAATATGCATCCTGGAGGTCGAGGGTGGCCATTGAGACGTTTCTGCGAAGGAGTGGCAGGATCTGTTGAAGCGACACCATGCGGAAGCGGTGATAAGCCACCTAACAGTTCAACTCCCTGAGATCTAAGATGGGTCAAACGCCCCCATCTCTCTTCGGGACTGTAAAATATCGGGAATAGAACCCCGTCCAGTGGAGGTGTAATGGTACATGTTCGATGGCTCCCTTCTGCAGAAGGACGGACACCTCCTGGAGAAGACGCGGGGAAGGGGGTGTGGACATGACGACTGACGCATTGGGGTTCTGAATGAATTCGATTTTGTATCCTCGGGTCAAGAGGTGATGCAATGCCAGGTATTCAGAAAAGGTGACAGACGGGTAATTGCTGACTCGGTGACAGGTGCTTTTGTCTAGCTCTTGCAGAGCGGAATCGGTCGTGGTATGAAACAACCCTAGGCTGTCAAAGGGTAGGTCTTCTACATAGGCTCTAGTATCCACTGGCAAATTAGTGCCTCTGAGCCAAGAATGCCTCCTGAGAGCTACTGCAGAGGCCATTTTTCTTGAAGATGCTTCAAGGACGTGCTTGGTGGTACTGAGTTGCTGCTTCGACAATACCATGCCCTCCGTCTGTATGACCCTGGCCTCTCGTAGTTTGTCATCTGGTAGGTGACTGAGTAGATTTGAGAACCGTTCCCACAGGGTATATTGGTACCGACTCATACAGGCTAGGTAGTTGGAGGCTTTAACTGCCAGCGCTCCCGTGGAATAAACTCTCCTGCCAAAGGCATCCAATTTCTTTCCTTCCTTATCTGAAGGGGCAGAATGTCACCTTTTGGACTTGGAGGATGACGTAACAACCATAGAATTCGGTTGAGGATGGGAAAAAAGGAATTCTGCTTCCGTATCTTGAACTCTATACATGTGGTCCAGCTTTTTCGTAGAAACTGGCGCAGAAGACGGTTTCGTCGATGGCGACTTAGCTGCTTGGAGCAGAACAGAAGACATTGGTAATGCAAGTGTGGAAGAGACATCAAGTTGGACAATGTCATAAGCAGTGTCTGATGTTGTTGCTGGACTACCGAGAGCCCCAGGGAGTGAGCCATTCTCTTTACGAGATCTGTGTAAGACGTTAGGTTATCTGAAGGTGATATAGGTATGTCTTCAGTAACATTCTGTGTAGGGGACTCATGGTTGGGAGAGGTGTGAACCTCCGAAGGCTTGGTATCAGAATCGGCGTCGACATCCTCCGATGAGTCTTGATGTACCATTTGGTCAGATGTGTCCTGCTTAGGTGGGATGACGGGAGTCACAAGGCTTGGAACGACAGGAGGGTTGAGCGGACGATTTTGCTCCAACGAATGGTGGGGCGGATAGACAGTAGGTGATAGAGAAGCAGACGGTTTTGCTCTATGCGGCGATCTCGACCGATGGACGGACCGGACGGAGTAACGGTCCCAATCGGAGTAATCAGCCGGCGTTAAAGGTATCGCAGCTGACGCTCATCCCATGACATCGGTGGTGGTGGGGGTAGAAAGACTCTTGGAGATCGACTTCTAGACCGTGGACGTCTGGGCGAATAAACAGCAGCTCATCCACTAGAGCGGTCTGTATAGCCATGAGCATCGGTATCAATGGTCCCAGTACGGAGACATGGAGGGTGGCTATATTTAATAGAAGCAGTGTATTGGTGTCGAGGAAGTTCAACGTCGGGAGCTTCAGACACCGTCGATGTTGACGACTGCGAAGGTGACGGGGAATGCTCTGCACCCAGCTGGTGACTAACGAGTTCCACCGTTTCGACATCGAAGTAAGGACGGTCTGTGGGACGTACAGGGGAGTCCAACACATGGATCGTCTGTATCGATGGGGGCGCCTCAGCCTCCGGTATCGATACTACCGTTGAAGCAGGAGGTACTATTGGGACATCACCCAGTACCGGTACCGGCTCCTTCCCCTTTTTCGTCGTCTTAAGGCCTTTGGAGGAACCCTTCTTCACGGACTTTTGGTCCATACCTGCCTTAGCCTTCTTCTTGACCGGCGTAGAGGCGGAGGATCGAATTTTTGACGTTGAGTGTTTCGATGTCAGATGGTCGATCGGACACCGGTCTCATCACCGGAGCTGTCGATGTGGATGGCCCTTCATCCATGGCTGAGGCTGGAGCGAGGGCAGACTCAAGCAAAGCTACTTTTAGTCGCGCAGCCCAGTTCTTCCACGTTTGGTTCGAGAATTGAGCACAATGCCGACAGGACTCCGGTTTATGCGCCTCGCCCAGGCAAAAAATACAACGTTTATGTCCGTCCAGAGGAGCAAGTTTGCTTCCATGGCGACGACAGCGATTAAAAAAAATCCCACTTCTTCTTCACCATAAGAAGTGGAAGCGACTATTAGGGGGGGGGGGCAGCCTGAAGGCCTGAGGTAAATTTCTCTCAGAAAATAAAGTCCTCCTCTACTCCTTTTTTTTTTTTTTTTGAGAAAAGAACGAAAATAATAAAAAAACGAAAAGAGGATATAGTCCTAGAGCTAGAAGTTTTTTGTTAAACTGCTAACAGAGATTCCGATCAGACGAAGAAACAATAGGTCTTTCCAACGCGGCGGTAAGAAAGGAACTGACGGGATGTCCACGCCCACCCCTCTGGGCATGCGCAGTGGGGTTCCTGCGCATGCCCAGAGGGACTGAGTGCGAAAATCCGTTAAAATAGAGCTTGCTACAGCACCAATCGATCCAGCGCATGTGCACTGAATCCCATGGGTGTGAAGCATAGAGACCACGTTGAAGATCTGTGGTTCTGTGTGGAAGTTATGAGCCTTTGAGGCTAGGTCTATTTAAGGAACTTTAGAGAAAGAAGAACTGTACATATCTGAAACCATTACATATATGAACTTTATTGAAACCATTACGCATCATACTTCTAAATAAACTCAATGTATGTTTAAGAAAAAAACTTTTTATAGGGAATACAAAGGATCCCCTTTTACCTCTGAGCCAGCCACACACACTGACCGTTCCACCATTCTACCAATACCTCTACAACCCATGAGGGCCATATACATTTTGAATTTAAAAAAAAGCAGCACATAGGAAACTAGGGGCTTTGCAGGTTGCACATGGCAGTTACATCAACAGAAAGCCACGCTCCAATGAGGAAAGGAGTGTGATCAAACTGAGATATCTTGCCAGATTTAGACATGACGTAATACAGCCAAGGAAACATGGTACTACAGGACATGGCTTGTTTCTCGCTCACCAGCTCTAAACAAAGAACTTGTACCCCAGCATTCTCTTCTCCTGGGATGGATGCTCTGGCCTCTGCCACTCGACAGAGGAAAGGAAGAGAAGGGAGATCAGTTTGCCAGTTCAAGACCTAAGAGGTGAGTTGCTGACTGGCCCTGGTATCCCGAGGCTGGTCTGGGTTATGTATTTTATCTGTATCGTAAGCAGCCTTGAGCTTCATAAGGAAGAAAGATGGCTAATAAATGTTTTAAATAGATACATAAAATAATTATGGTACAAATTCACTTACATAGAGAGGGAAAAGAACTTTGCATGCTGTGCTGTATTTTGTACCTCCACCTCCAAAGAATGCACAGAAAAGCACACAAAACACAGGTTCCTAAGCATAACAGCTTCCATTTTAAAAAAGCAAGCTTCTAGCCCTTATGGTGGCAATGCTGACGGAGATGCCCAATATTCAAAGGGCTCTGGATCAAGCCCACTAATTGAGCAATTCTTCCTACAACAAGGAAGAGACAAGGCAACCTACAAAGCACAACTGAAAGCGCAGCTCCTGCCCCTCCCCCACCTGGCTCCTTGAGGCAAAATGTGTGTGTGTGTGCAGTGTCATCAAGTCGTTTCCCTATGAATTAATGTCCTCCAAAACGTCCTGTCATTAACAGTCATTCTCAGGTCTTGCAAACTGAGGACCCTCATGGCTTCCTCGACTGAGTCAATCCATCCAACACTATATCTTTCTTCGTTCTGGATTGTCTCGTCATAGGGTTTTCAAGGTAAGAGTTCGTCAGAAGTGGTTTACCATGGCCGCCTTCTGCACGGTACTAACCGGGGTTAGCTGAAGTATCCACTGCCGTTGTCTACGAAAAATCCTCTGCCAGGTCCCCTTCCACTACTGCTGCTGCCTAGTAGCTAACACCCCTCAAGGTTTCCTCCACCTTCCTCCTTCCGTCACCATGGGAACTGTCCCTTCTCTTTGGCGGATGTGGCCGTTGATCCCCCAAGGGGGTGGGGGTGCATCTTAGTCTGGTGTCCCAGCTGTGACCATTCTGCCTCGGATCGGCTCTGCAGGGAGTTTAGACCCCTTACAGTATTGCTCTCAGCTTCACTGACACACACAAACTCCCTCACTGCCTTAAGGTGTGCATCCCAGAGGGGGGTGAGGCAGAATAAGTTCTAAAGAAACACTTACATTTTGCTTCGCTGGGAGAGGCTGCAGAAATCAGCTACTTAGTAACACCCAGCCCTGCTTATATGTCATGCGAGGCAGCAGTTATAAATCCAGTGACTCTAGGCCCTACCCATCCAATCACATTGCTCCTGTCCAGTGGAAAATTGCCTCAGTTTATCTGGCAGGTTGGGGGGTGGGTGGGTTTATTTTTTACCAACTGGCAACTGGGACCACAACTACCCTGTTAGCAAAATCATGACACGGCTGTCTAACCCTACAGACCTAAACAGAGTTGTGCCCTTCCAAGTCCAATAAAGTCAACGGGCTTAGGAAGGCCCTGATTCTGTTTATGACTGCACTGCAGCGACAGCACCAGGTGCCGTCATAGTGTAGTTGTATCTGCCTTCACCTGTCCTTGCAGCCTGGTCTCTGGCTTCACCTTCTTTCTTGGAACGAAGCCCCTGTTGACGAGAATTGTGATTCTGTGAAGAGCAAGAGGGAGAGACAGGAAGAAATACTTCAGTTAGGACATTAAGACTCCCAACGCCTGAAGTGGATCTTTTTCCAAACAGAGGAAGATTTTTAAAAGATAAGAACAGAAACCACCAACGTCCCCTTGCCTGGATATCGGATGTCTTCATATCCAGCAACCTGCTGCTCCACCTGCACGCTTACCGTTCTGCCAAAATGATGCCAGAATGATTTCCCCCACCCACTTTCTCAGGGATCTCTCTCTGTTTATTGGAGATGGACTGTATTCCACCCAAACTTATAGTGCAATGTATTTGCTGGACTTGAGGATGCCACACAATTCTTTGTTGTTTAGGATATATTACAAAAGTGGGGGAAAGAGGCTAACCAGCAATGCTCCCCATAAGCTGCGAAGTCTTGTGAGCAAAAATTCTACTTTGGGAGCTACCGGCATTAAAGTTGTGAGCGAGCACTTTGGCTACTGCATAAATTAGTTTGCTCTGGAGCCCCATCCTTCCTGAGCGAAGACAAAAATGTGTGAGCCGGAGGCTAAAAAACTGTGAACTAGCTCACACTAACTCAGCTTAGAGAGAAAACTGCTAACTAGCGATGTGTTGATAACAACTCCAAGACCGGAAGTGAAATAATGGACACTACAGAAATGGCCTGCTTGGAAGAAGGGGAAGGAAAAAATCAGTAGACTGAGATGAGGAGTCCTGTGTTAGCCAGATTTAACGTATCGCCATCGGCAATGTTCCCTCTAAGCTGTGGGGTCTTGTGAGCAAAAATTCTACTTTGTGAGCTACTGGCATTAAAATTGTGAGCAAGCAATATGGCTACTGCAGAAATTAGCTTGCTCTGGAGCCATCCTTCCTGAGCTAAGACAAAAAATGTGTGAGCCGGAGGCTGAAAATTTGTGAGCTAGCTCACACTAACTCAGCTTAGAGGGAACACCGGCCATCTTCTCTGGAAGATGCCAAAAAATCCCCTATGAACTTAGGCAATGCCCCTGCAGTCAGTCAGGGTGCTATCGAATCCGTTTCTCATGTCCTTTTAAATTGTCCATTTTATACTAAGATTTGAGGAAAATTTCTGGACACCCTTCTTTTTACATGGCGTGGCCCTTCCTGAGAATATCAAGGTCCAGTTGCTACTCTCTGGGCAAAACGCTTCTATAACTTTTAATGTTGCTTGTTTTCTTCAATCTGTAATTCGAACCAGGGAAACTATTAATTGATCAGTTCTTTTTTTGTTGGCTGTTTGACCTTTGATGTATTCCTAAATTTTAATGTTATCTTATCTCTTAAAGGTAAAGGTAAAGGTTCCCTTGCTCGAAAGCCAGTCGAATCCGACTCTAGGGTTGCGGTGCTCATCTCTGTTTCAAAGCCGAAGAGCCAGCGCTGTCCGAAGACGTCTCCGTGGTCATGTGGCCGGCATGACTAAACACCAAGGCGCACGGAACGCTGTTACCTTCCCACCGAAGCGGTACCTATTTATCTACTTGCAATTTCTTGCTTTCGAACTGCTAGGTTGGCAGGAGCTGGAACTAGAGACGGGAGCTCACTCCGTCATGCGGCACACTCAGTTCTCAAACTGCTGAACTACCGACCTTCCACAGCCTGCAGTTTAGCGTCTTAACCACTTGAGCCACCGCAGCTCCTTCTTATCTCTTACATGCCAATAAAAGTTGTCAGTCTGAGTCCTATGTGCCTGTCATGAGAACAGTCAGAAGCTGTCACTGGAATGCTTGGAAGCTCTTTTCATCCTTGGAACATGGCGGCCTGCTCACAGGAGTACGGGAGAAAGGCGGCAGGGGCTTTGTGGAGACTCAAGGAGACCCATTCTGGCAATACTTTTTCTGGCTGACCTCTTCTCACTGTTCCTTTTCTGACTACTCCTCTCCCCCCTCATGTTAACATCATTTTATTGAACACTCTAAACTGGAAAAAAATATTTCATAAAACTCCCCCCCCCCCAAAAAAAAACTTGTTCTGAAAATGCCATAAAGGCAAAGGTAAAGGTTCCCTTGCTCGAAAGCCAGTCGAATCCGACTCTAGGGTTGCGGTGCTCATCTCCGTTTCCAAGCCAAAGAGCCAGCGCTGTCTGAAGACGTTTCTGTGGTCATGTGGCCGGCATGACTAAACAGCAAGGCACACGGAACGCTGTTCCCTTCCCACCAAAGCGGTCCCTATTTATCTACTTGCAATTTCTTGCTTTCGAACTGCTAGGTTGGCAGGAGCTGGAACTAGAGACGGGAGCTCACTCCATCATGCGGCACACTCGGGTCTCGAACTGCTGAACTACTGACCTTCCACAGCCTGCAGTTCAGTGTCTTAACCACTTATCAGGTCTCAAAAAAGTAAACACAAAACTACTTCCCTGCCCTTGCCCTGGCTTTGCTGTGCATCTTTGCCACTGCAGCACACGTACAGCTTCAACCTTCCATAAGGGCATCCAGCGAGGCACCCCCTCCAAAACGTTCATAGGTTGCGCTACGTTTTTGATGTGCTGTCCTCTGAATTCTGTGACTGCTGCCAAAATCTGAGTGAAATCCTCCGAGCAGCTGAAAAGGCACTTCTGAGTATTTACCAGCATCCCAGCTGGCCACAAACATGATGCGCAACTGCGCTGCCTTCCACCTTTGCTCATGGAATCTGCCCCAGTTAAGAGGCAGAGAATGGTTGGGTGCCTCCATGGGGGAAGTGCAAATTCCTGAAGCCCAGGAGTCTTATTAGTCACAGGCACAAGAGGCAGCAACTTCAACCCAGAAGACAGAGCACTGCCAGCTCCTACAGCCAGAGGGGATCACACAGAGAAGCCCTCAAGCACTCTTGCACTGCAGTCAGAAGCAAAACCAAAGGCAGAAACTGTACAATGGATGCTAGGCCGGCTGGCTGCTACTGGCTACTCAGGGGTCTTGACTACACTGTGAGTCACACAACACAGCCTCAGAAAGAGATACTCCAGAGTCAAACATTACTTTCATAAGCAGAACAAGTTTTTAGTCTTCTAGTTTGTATAGCACTTGGCTCATCTATGAGACAGTAGCATTCCTTTCTAAGCCTTCTAGCTCCTAACCAACTTACCCAAGATCCGTGCAGTAAAAGGGTGTGATCACGTTCGCACCACTCTCTGGATTCGACATCAGCTGGCCGGCGGCCCTGGCCTCTTTCTTTGCATCTACCAGGGAACGTGGAAGTATGTACAACTCCTTTGTATGGTCAAAATATCCGCGGACTCTGACTGGCTTGTACTCCAACTCCTTCAACTCCAGGAGGCTGCAGAAGAACGGGAAATGGTAGCGCTGGCTAAGTTGCAGCCAACAGCAAAAGCGGAGAGGCGTGATACCGTCTCAGTTTCTTTGCTAAGGCAAATACTTCACACACAATGGATGTGATAACGACTTGTGTGGCAGAACGTGCCTGCTCTGGCCTGTGGGCCCCGTTCCACCCTTGGGGTTCCCAACACCCTGAAGGGACTTCTCCTTTACTCTCCAGTACCACCACCTGATCAACACAGGGGATTCCCACTGAAGGGATCAGGACCCTCAGCTCCCTGTTCAAGCTCAGCGGCCTCAAGCCTCGCTCCCAGCTCCTTCGGCCAGCTGCATGGTCCAAAATGGCTGCCCGCCCCCAACCTCAGGCAAGAGGTCTGTTTCGCTCAGCATCCCAACAAAAAGAGACCCACTTCCTCTTGCAAGGAAGTTTTATTAAGTTTTATTCATTTTCTGTCTCCATACCCTTGATCAGGTCACGCCAGGTCAATGAAGCATTTCTCCAGTCCATTCCTGGAGACTATATCTGGGGCTGGTCTAGCCTAAAGCCCTCCAAACTCTACATAAGAACATAAGAGACGCCAATGTTGGATCAGGCCAAAGGCCCATCCAGCCCAACACTCTATATCACACAGTGGCCAGAATACCAGTGCCATCAGGAGGTCCACCAGTGGGGCCAGGACATTAGACGTCCTCCCACTGTTGACCCCCCAAGCACCAAGAAGACAGAGCATCCCTTGCCCCAGAGTCCCTATCTATACCTTGTGGCTAACAGCCACTGATGGACCTCTGCTCCATATGCTTATCTAATTCCCTTTTGAAGCCGTCCATGCTTGTAGCCGCCACCACTTCCTGTGGCAGTGAATTCCATGTGTTAATCACTCTCTGTTTCCTGCCTGTGGGAGGGGGGAGGGAGAAGGGGGAAGTTTGATCATCCCATCGTCTCTAGCCAGTCCCATTAGCATTTCTTAAGAGGTGCGCCTGGAAAGCCACTGATGGACACCCTCCCTCCCAGCCTGCAGAGAAAAAAAGATTATTTTTTTAAATGCCAAGTGGACGCTTCCTGCTTGCTGGCCTCCCTCCAGGAGAAAATGCATTTCTTCACAACTTATACCCAACAAAACCAGCTAGCTGCCTCTCATGAGACTGAAGGAAAGTGCAAATGACAAGACAAGGTGGTTGGGATCTGCAGATCCATGCCGCTCACCTACCACAGAGCTTTCTTCTAACGTAAAAAACCTTTTTCCTAAGGCAAGAGGCTCTTCCCTCCTCAGCTGCAAGGACCCTTCTTCACCTGACCTTGATGGCCCAGGATGATCTGATCTTCTCAGATCTCAGAAGCGAAGCAGGGTCGGCTCTGGTCATACCATCAAGGAAGCCCAGGGTTGCTACACAGAGGCAGGCCATGGAAAACCACCTCTGAGCATCTCTTGCCTTGGAGACCCCAAGAGGGGTCACCATGAACCAGCTGCAACTTGACAGCACTCCCTGCTGCCACCAAGGACCCTTCTTACAGGGAGGAAAGCACCACCCCTGGTAGAACTGATCTGGGATCAAACCAGGCTCTGATATATTTGCACCAATGATGCAAAGGGGAGACAAGGAAAGGTAAAAGGAAGAAGAAGAAGAGAAGAAGAGATTGGGTTTATACCCCGCCCTTCACTTGGAGTCTCAGAGCGGCTTACAAACCCCTTTCCCTTCCCCTCCCCACAACAGACACCCTGTGAGGTGGGTGGGGCTGAGAGAACTCGGACACAAACTGCTCTTTTTCAAGGACAGCTGTGCCAGAGCTTGTGACTGACCCAAGGTCACATCAGCAGGTGCAAGTGGAGGAGTGGGGGAATCAAACCCGGTTCTCCCAGATTAGAGTCCGCGCACTTAACCACTACACCAAACTGGACAGAGAGGAGAAGCAGAAAAGGTACAAAGGGAACACTTGTGGCAGGGCCAGGGCCAAAGACTGCCTGGGGAAGAAACAGAGGGGGGGTGGAAGATGAAGAGTTGGCTTTCATACCCTGCTTTTCTCTGCCTCCGGGAGTCTCAAAGCGACCTACAATCGCCTTCCCTTCCTCTCCCCACAACAGTTACCTTGTGAGGGAGGTGGGGCTGAGAGAGCTCTCGAGAGAACAGCTCTGAGAGAACTGTGACTGGCCCAAGGAGTGGAAAACCAAACCTGATTCTCTAGATTAGAGTCCGCCGCTCTTCACTACTGTACCATGCGTGGCTCACCACACTGGAATAATAGGAAAGGCCGCAGACTGGGAAGAAGCAAAAGAGGGGAAGCAAGAAGAGGGGAGGGAGGGAGGGAGTGGGGAAATGAAATTCTCCTCAACAGGTCCCCCACTTGATTAAAACTATTAACAGTCTCTATCTCAACAGCAGGTTCATTACTGTCCTTATCTGCACAATGCCATTAATGGACACAGCCGCATAAGAGGCCCTAATCCCACAGCACTTTCAGTCTAAAGCCCGGCAGGGATCCAATAGAGGAAGGGGAGGTCCATAAAGGGTGAATGAGCGAAAGGAAGACCTGCGGCCTCTCTGCTGGCCCCACTCCTGTGCCACTGACAGAAGCCCAAGAGGCTGGGTGAAGCCTCTCCCCACACTTCCTTTGTATTGACAGAAAAACTTCACCCATTCCAATTCAGGAGCACAGCCAAGGAAAGAAATCGCAACTACTTGCAGATCACAAACCCCCATTTTCAGTGGATGATGAGCCAGCTCGCAGACTTACTCAAATGGCAGCGGGACTGGCTCTGCTGCAACTCGGGCCTCCAAGTCGGCAATCAGCTTCAGTTTCCATTTCCGCCGCTGAACCTGATAAGCACACAAGAACCTAAGAGGCCTTATGGAACAATGTGGCACGAGAAGAGTATCCCAGCCAGCTGGACCCGTGTATTTCTGGACCAGATCCAACATCACGCCTGGTAAACCATACAGGCTCACATTGACAGCAAAATGAAATTACTGTTCCCCTCTCAGAACTTAGCAAGACTAGCATCCAGGTACCTGGTGAAGGGACAGTTGACTCTCGAAAACTCGTACCCCAAAAATATTGTCTCTAAAGTGCTACTGGACTCAAATCTAGCTCACATCTACGATTCACCAAGTAGCTTGGCAAGAAGGGACAGGAAACCCTAAATAGTAGGTGAGGAACCTGCAGCAGGAGGAAGAAATCCCAAAGCGCACAGAGCAGAATCACGGTGGAAGAGGGGCAGCAGGCGTTCAGCGCCCCCCTCCTGTGCCACAGCCGCCCCAAGTTGTTTATCTGAACAAACATGATCTCTGCCTGCCAACGCACGGCAACAGCTTGGGAAAGCAGATGGAGGAAGATGCTGGCTTTGCAGCTGATTATAAAGGATTGCCCTGGCAAGGCTTCCGTAGAAACAGTAGCAACAAAAAAGCATCAACTGAACGCCAATTATGAGTGTTCAAAGAGCTTCAGGCAGATTAACTCGGTAATTCTAACAAAACTGATTCAGGTGGGCTGGTGTCACCATCACCCCCAGACTCCAGGAGGGGCTCACTTTAGGCCGCACGATGAGCTTGGAAACCAGGATCCTCCTCTTAACTGCACCTGCTGTCCACTAAGCACCCCCCGACAACCGAGCCTCAGATTCACCTGCCACATGCCGAGGCACAATGTAACCACAGGGATAGTGAGGAGGCCCCATTTGAGCACTGCATCCTCTCCAGACTTGGCAGCTGCCGCAGTGGAAACTCCAGATGTGCGAGGCCTCCAGGAAGTCTCTGGGGGAACAAAGCAAGATATAAAGTGCCAACTGCAGAAAAACCAAAAGATACCTGGCACTGGATGCAGCACACCATGGATTTTTTGTTCAATCATACAGTCGAGTCCAACTCTTCACAACCCCATGGACCACATCACGCCAGGCCCTCCTGTCTTCCATTGTGCTCCGGAGTTTGCTCAACTTCATGTTTGCATTGATAACACTGTCTAACCACCATGGATACTCAATGACTATTCAACAATAATGTACACAACTGTGCACCCCAGAATAGGAGCATCTTTTTTTAATGAACACACACACACACACACACACACACACACAAAGCTGCCTTATACTGTATCAGACCCCTGGTCCATCAAGATCAGTATTGTCTATGCAGACTGGCAGAGGCTCTCCAGGGTCTCAGGCAGAGGTCTGTCACATCATTGAAGGCCAGATACTTTAGGCATTGAGACTGGGGACTTCTGCACACAAAGGAGAGGCGAAGTACTGAGCCAAAGCCCCTCCCCACAGTGGTGGAGGCAGCCCAAAGCCAAGGAGCCCCTATGTCATTAACACTCACCCTGCCCTACAGAAAAGGGCAGGAGTACCAACTCCTTCTCCACCTTCACACAGTCCCCAGGGAGCAGAGAAACTAGCCAGTAGGGAAAAGCCTGGGCAGTGAAGGACTGTAGCCAGTGACCTGCTGGGCTGGAAGCCTTGTAGCACCCCTCAGGCTCCTTTTATGGGACAGGTGGTATCTCAATGTCTGGGTATAAGAAGAACAGACAGTTAGAACCACCATCAGCTAAACCAGAAATAGGTCTACTTTTTCCACTCCAGTCTCTGTATGCCAGGTTCCACGCTGCCCTCTTCCTCTGCTAGGATAGGTTCCAAACAGGATCCAGCACACAAAATATCATCATAGCCTTCTCAAAAGCCTCCCACTGCTCACCTTTTCGCAGCCATATCAAGTTGGAGATAGCTTTAGAGTGGGGGCATCCAAAGAATGTCCTTCTGTCCAAGCAGTTTGGTAGCTAAAAGCAAAATAGAGAAACCTCCTGTATTACCACCCTTCATTTTAAACATAAGTTAATTCAGATCTCCTTTTAGGAAACATGAGAAACAGCTTCCCGGTGCAAAAGCTATAGTAAAGGTAAAGGTAAAGGTTCCCTTGCTCGAAAGCCAGTCGAATCCGACTCTAGGGTTGCGGTGCTCATCTCCATTTCAAAGCCGAAGAGCCAGCGCTGTCCGAAGACGTTTCCGTGGTCATGTGGCCGGCATGACTAAACACCAAGGCGCACGGAACGTTGTTGTTCTATACTGGAATCCAAATGCCACTGTCACAAAATTCACCTGGATCTCTCAGTTGCATTTTCCAACATGGCATCAAATAAGACAGATGCTTGGCTGACATGCAGAACCACAATACTAGACTATGGTGACAAAGAGGGTGGGAAGCAGGAGGTCCTGTCTTGGAAGCTGTGCCACACACTGCAAGTAAGCAAGTCCCCATGTCACATCAAGGACAGTGAGCCATGTGACAGCACCCTGGCCCAGGCCTAAATAGGGTGGACATGTAGCTACTTTCAAAAGGCCCAAACAGGGTTAGGTTCAGTGATTTCCTTCTATTTTTAACACAGGCAACATTTCTACAATGGTCCCGTTCACATGAGGGGATTTGGGCCAGTAGCGGGACGGTTCGGGGGCGGAGCAAATGGCCGCGATCACACCACAACATCTGGGAAGCGTAGTGCTTCCGTCCCCGAACTGGCCCATCCACGCGATAAACCGCTCCAAATTGGAACCACCTACCAAGGTGGTTCATCTCAATGGTGTGCTGCAAACTGGGAGTCTGATCGCCGGCGCATCCTTGCGCCGGCGCGTCCCCGGCTCCTAGGCGAACTGCGCATGCTCTGACATGCGCAGTTCGGCTGGCTCGCCGTCCGATCTGTGTTTTCTCCCCGGCGTCTGATCATGCCGGGGAGAAAGGCGGCGCGGCCAGGGGATCTGCGCCGTTTCAACTTTGGCGCGGCTTTTAAAAGCCACGCTTTTTGGCTGCTTTTCCTCTGCCGTGTGGCAGGGGCCAAAGTTGCCTATGTTAAAAATAGAAGAAAATCACTGAATTATTTAGTTCAGTTTCTTTTTATAGATAACTATTATTTTATAGATAACAACATTTAAATCTCAAGCTCCATAAAAGCAACATCTATTGTGGATCTTTCAGATCTATTAAAGGTAAAACAACGAGAGATGATCTACTAGGGCAGCAGTCATGCTGGTATATCTAAATGAGGGGGTGACTGAGGGAGAAAAACCAGTACCACGAGCATTCATGTGACATAGAAAGTGTGTCCCCCCCCCAAAGTTGGTTAAATTCATACTGCCACGATCAGCATAATTCCTCATGTACCTGGGTTCTTCAAAAAGGTGTTGGTGTATATAGCCTCTCTTCAACTTAATTGTGTTATTGTTGTAAATAAAGAGCCAACAACCTATGACATCATCAGCCAGGAAAACATCATTGAGAATTCATCAGATTAGGATCAGGAACATCCGGGCTACAATCTTCACTCTGCCATGACGGTCACTAGACAACTGTAGGCCAGTGTCTTTCTCTACCTCACAGGGTTCTTCTGAGGATTAAATGGGGAGGGGGAACGATAGCGTCACGTACACTGCCCTGAGCTACCAGGAGGAAAGACATGATGAAATGCCTAAAATTTACTCACAGGGTGGGGGGGTGGAACGTGATGTCAAGTTGCAGCCAATTTACGGCAAGTCTATAGGGTTTTCAAGGCAAGAGACGTTCAGAGGTGGTCTCCCATCCAAATACGAACTAGGGTCAACCCTGTTTAACTTCCAAGATCTGACAAGATCAGGCTAGCCTGGGCAATCATAGGATAAAGCAAACTTCCAGTTTCACAAAAAAAAACGGCGCGGGGGGGGGGGGGGGGGGGGGGGAGGCCAGCAGCAAGCCCAAATCAGCTACTAGTTTTCTAAAAGCCACAGAAAAGGTAGGCCCAGATGGAAGACCAAAGCCCACTCCCTCCCACCCAACTGCTGACCCTGCAAAACCTGGCCCACTGCCTCCAGCTGCTCTCTACTGGAAAGGGACTGTGTCGGCCCTAGTCCTACAGTTTGGTGTAGTGGTTAAGTGCATGGACTCTAGAGCCAGATTGGTTAAGTGGTTAAAGTGCACAGACTCTAATCTGGGAGAACCAGGTTTGATTCCCCACTCCTCCACTCACAGCTGCTGGATTACCTTGGGCAAGCCATAGTCCTGTCCAAGGCTCCCTCCAAGCTGCGGAGTCTGGTGAGCAAAAATTCTACCTTGTGAGCTACCAGCATTAAAGTGGTGAGCGAGCGATTTGGCTGCTGCATAAACTAGTTCACCTTGGAGCCGTCCTTCCTGAGCTGAGACAAAAATGTGTGAGCTGGAGGCTAAAAAACTGTGAGCTAGCTCACGCTAACTCAGCTTAGAGGGAAGGGAAAGGAGTTTGTAAACCGCTCTGAGACTCTGAGTGAAGGGTGGGGTATAAATCCAATCTGTTCTCTCTCTCCCCAGCTGATTGACAGGCATAAATTACACAAGTCAAACTTCCCTTGACATAAAGATGGGGAGAGGTAAGAAATGTAATGTCTCTTAAGGGCACAACAGCAGAGTTACCAAAAAAGTGAGCAAACTCCCTCTCTCAGCCCCAGTCCTTTTTTGTAAAAAGGCCAATCCAATCCAAATACTTTTACTGGCATAAAAAGAAAAAAAGGTAGAACACGGCCAATTTACAGAGAATTTCAATGATAAAAACCATCAAGCATCACATAGAAAAGCTAGACTTTTGTTCCCTGATTGTTATGGCAGCCAAGAGGTACCTTGCAACTGAACTTGTAATGTGGGAACATCGGTCAGATAGTAAGAGAGATACTAACTTCGCCTCGGCTCAGATAGACTGTGAAAGTTAGACACAATAGGTCTAATTATAAAGTCCCACACTTCCCTATAAAAATCACAATGAAGTAAAACATGGGTTACTGTTTCAAGGTGCCTTCCTTTACATGAACAAAGTCTTTCTTGATAGGGCGTGTTTGCAAACCTCCCAGACAATACCACTGAGGGTAAAACATTGAGTATTGCTAACATAAAAGAGCAGCGTAACTGGGGAGAGGTAATCTGGGAAAGGTAAGCAGCAGGCAGTCCATATTCTGGAAAGATACCGAATGCTTAAGGAGAGCAAGTTCTGTGTTCAAGAGAACAGATAGTCTTTTTCTCAATATCTAGAATCCACTGTTTCAAAATTCTAAATGTCTGCGTTTCACTTAACATGCAGAGGTTGTCCAAAGAGACACCTATAGAATGTATTTTCTTCTGGATCCAACAATACCAGTTGGAAACAAAAGAATCAAAAAGCATCATATGGATACAGCTAGCAGGTTCTGCCCTGAAGTGTAGGCGTAGCCAACACTTTGACGTTAATAGCCATGCCCTAGTCCCAATCAGATGCATTCCAGTCTCTAAGCACATTGTAGCATAGCTAGCACAGTTGGGGAACCCCCAAAATGCGGCATAAGAACGTTGCCTGGATTTGCTCAAGCTGGGTATTAAAGGCGCTAACCCAAATGGGGATCCCGTATAAAAGCTGAGAAATTGTTTTGGCATTCAAGACACAAATGGCAGCTGGGACAAATTGATTGCCCTTCTTATAAAAGAAACTAACCACCACAGATGAACTGCACCTTGCTAAGATCGTAAAAAGGCAATATCAGCAAACTACCTCATGGGGTTGTTCTGCAGCTAGACCCCTTCAGGCTCTCAAGAGCTTTGAAAACTTATGCATTAAGGAGTCTGAGGCGCTTCAGTTCAGGCAAAAGGCAACCATAGAAAGAAGCGCATAAAATTAAATATAGCTTAGAGACAATGGACAGAGAGAGAACTTCTCTGCATCTCCCCAAATACTGGAACTGGAGGGCATCTAATAAAGCCGGGAGGCCACAGATTCAGGACAGACAAAAGGAAGTGCCTTTTTTCACACAATACAGCTTTATAGACTTGACTGCCCCCAGAGGCAGCCACGGCCAGCCGCTTAGATGGCACCTATAGAATGTATTTTCTTCTGGATCCAACAATACCAGTTGGAAACAAAAGAATCAAAAAGCATCATATGGATACAGCTAGCAGGTTCTGCCCTGAAGTGTAGGCGTAGCCAACACTTTGACGTTAATAGGGTGCCGCATGACGGAGTGAGCTCCCGTCTCTAGTTCCAGCTCCTGCCAACCTAGCAGTTCGAAAGGAAGAAGTTGCAAGTAGATAAATAGGTACCACTTCGGTGGGAAGGTCACAGCGTTCCGTGCGCCTCGGTGTTTAGTCATGCCGGCCACACGACCACGGAAACGTCTTCGGACAGCGCTGGCTCTTCGGCTTGGAAACGGAGATGAGCACCGCAACCCTAGAGTCGGACTCGACTGGCTTTCGAGCAAGGGAACCTTTACCTTTAAAAGGTAAATGGAGACACTCATGGAGCAAGAAAAGCCCATAAGCAGTAAAACAGCCATAATGGCTCCACGATCCAGAGCAGTCTATCCCCAGAAACAGGACGGGGTCCCCGCCAGGGCGGCTACCTCCGCCTCAGACCGTTCCTGGGCAGGGCCCCGAGCCCTCTTTTCTCCTCCAGGAGCTCCTCGGCTAGCGCGGTTGCCAAGCGCTCCAGGTGGGCCCTGGAAATCTCCCCGTGGGAGAGGCGAGAGATCGGCCCCACTGAAAAAAGAGGCCTGGGAAGGGGAGTCCAGCGCCGCCCCCGCCTCCCAAGCACAGGCGCCCTGCGAGCGGGGAGAAGCCGTATCCGGGGCCGCCCCTCCGGCCTCCTACCTGCCCTCTGCCCCAAACGCGGCCCCACAGACGACCATCGCCTAGCAACCGCAGACAGCCCGCCATTCTCATTGCTTCCGCCGGCGGCCGGATGTGACCCGGAGGCACTTTCTGGGAAGGGCTGGACTCGTGGGGAAAGGAAAAGGCGGGAGTCGCCACCGCCGACGGCGCACTCATGTTGGGGTGCCGCTCTACCCTCAAGATCTCGATGGTACTTTGCACACAAACGCGGACACTCTCGGGGTCCCCGCCAGGGCGGCTACCTCCGGCTCAGACCGTTCCTGGGCAGGGAGGAGGCTGGGGAAAGGGGCCGTGGAGCTCGGCAGGGGACGGGATGCCTCCCCCGAGCCCAAAACTTGGTTGGTCTTAAAGGCGCCACTTCGGATTTGGACTGTTCACCTTTTCATCGACATTCTTGGGGGGGGGGCAGAGGAGGGATAGAGGACCCCCACATCACCGAGAGTGGCGTGAAAAGGCCACACGCACGCATACTTTACTTTTCTCCTCCAGGAGCTCCTCGGCTAGCGCGGTTGCCAAGCGCTCCAGGTGGGCCCTGGAAATCTCCCCGTGGGAGAGGCGAGAGATCGGCCCCACTGGAGAAAACGGCTGCCTCGGAGGGTGGGCTCTGCAGGGGCCGAGGCCTGGGAAGGGGACCCCCCCCCTCGAGGCAGTCCAGCGCCGCCCCCGCCTCCCGGGACCGCCCCTCCGGCCTCCTACCTGCCCTCTGCCCCAAACGCGGCCCCACAGACGACCATCGCCTAGCAACCGCAGACAGCCCGCCATTCTCATTGCTTCCGCCGGCGGCCGGATGTGACCCGGAGGCACTTTCTGGGAAGGGCTGGACTCGTGGGGGTCATGCGGCACACTCAGGTCTTGAACTGCTGAACTACCGACCTTCCACAGCCTGCAGCTCAGCGTCTTCACCGCTTGAGCCACCGCAGCTCCTTCATACTTTACGTTACTGTCTGGTTTATCTTTGGTTCCAGGGAGCGGAAGTGAGGAATGCGTGAGGGGGGCGCGTTTCCTGTTCCCGACGGGCCGCGAAGGGGGCGGGGCAGCCCAGAGAGACCCGAGGGGGCCGGACACCGGAAGTGAGGTTGCGGCGCGCGGGGGCCGGCCGAGGCGCCCGGATTGGCTCCTCGCTCCATGCGCGCGCGCCCGTAGCCACGCCCCCTGCCGGAGCGGGCCCAGAAGCGCGCGGAGCCGGGCCATGAGCGGGCCGTCCGCGGAGGCGCTGGAGGGGTTCCTGGCGCAGCATCCGTCCCTGCGCGTCCTCCCGCCGGGGAACCGGGTGAGGCGGCTGGCTGGGCCGCGGGCGGAGGGTCGCGGGGAGGCCGCTGTCGTTGGGTAGCAGAGGGAAGGTCGCTCCTCTTTCACTGCCGATCCTCCTGCCTCGTGGATGACTTCGATTGAGTGCATTTAGGGAGGAAGCGAGGTCTTGTCTGTGTACTTTTATTTATTTTAGATATACCCCCCCCCCTTTTCTCCCCAATATCGGCCCAAAGATTTATTTTCCCTCCATTTTCATTTATTTATTATTTATTTAATTTTATTTATACCCCGCCCTCCCCGCGTGCGGGCTCAGGGCGGCTTACAACCATATGGCACATAGTGCAATAAAATACAATAAAACAGTTTAAAACAATTTATACATGGGCCACGCCCAAGGATCCTGCGTGACTAAAACCCTCTCTCCATATTGCACGGTGGAATTTTACCCTCACAGCAACCCCGTGAGGTAGGCGAGGCTGAGAGTGTGTGAGTGGCCCAAGGTCACCCAGCAAGCTTCCACGCGGAGTGGGGATTTGAGCCTGGATCTGTCAATCCCACTCTAGGCGCTGCCCCACACTGGCTGTTGATGCTTGTGAAGAGATGCGTTTTTTCTCCTGCGAGGCTGGCATGCAGCAAATACTCCATGCTGTGTTTTAGCAGTTTTTTTCCTCTAGACGGAGGTGGGAGTCAGTCGGCTTGTTGTACCTCAGCCCACCTTCGTGGGTATAGACAAAAGGGAAGGTCAGGCTTCCCCCTTCTCTCTCTCCCCCCCCCCTTCAAGCAGAGAACAGAGAGTTGGGGGTGATAAACTCTAATCTAGAGAGGCTTGAGGAAGGAACGTCCTGGAGACAACAGGAAAAGCTGCCTTGAACTGGGCTGACCAGGGTCAGGTGGAAGGAAAGACAGAAATGATAAAATCTCCTTGCAAGGGGAAGGGCCCCCCCTCTTTTTCTTGGGTGCTGCAGCCAGGAGTGCGCACAGACCTCTCCTCTGGAAAAGGCAGCAGTTTTGACCATGTGCTCACCTGGAGATCTGAGGGAAACTTCAAGGTAATGGTCATCCTGTAGGGATTTGTAACTTCTTAAGTTAAATGGGCCAGTCCTGTTTTAACATCAGACAGGGACAGAGAATGTGTGTGTTACCCCATTTCTTTTGGATTCCTTGCTCAATTATGCTTGTAAGCATTTTCTTTCTATTAAATACTTGATAACTTTTGATGCTGGGAGCAATTCTGTGTACCAGATAGGCCTCCACTGTCTCAAACACACTATCTGAAGGGGCGTGGCCCGGGGAAGGCAGGCAGTTGGCAAGTGGCTATTCCTTCAGGGGCGCCCTAGGCAGTAAGCTGTCCCGGCGGTGACCAGGTGCCGGGCAGCGGAAGATACTGAGGCCCTCCCAGTCTTGCCCTGCTTTAATAGTTATTCCTTCTGTCCAAGGAATTCTTGACTGTAATTTGTCTGGGTGTTCACAGAGGGAATCTCTTAATAAAATTCTGATCACCCTGAGCAGACCACAGTTCTGTCGGGAAAGCCATTACATGACCTGGCATGAAACTGATACACTTGTCGTGCTGATTGTGCACTCTAGCTGGCCCTATAGAAAGTGGTTTAGCTTGGTTTGAGGTTCATGCTAGAGTTACTGTTGTCTTCGTTCATCTGGTCTGGCACTTCTCTCTTATGTATTTTTTATTCTGCCCTTCATCCAAGGAATTCTGAGGCTTACGGTGTGATGATGTTGGTTCTTCCCAACCCTCCTCAAAGTTCCAGAGCAACTGCTCCCAAAATCCTGGAGTGCTAGAAGGCAGAATCTTTTGGGATAAAATATGTATTTGAGCAAACCAAGTTACAGTGGAATAAAATTTATTCCTCTAGTTTTACCACCATATTGGTACAGCTTTTCCCAATTTATGCAGTAAATTCAGATATTTCAGATACCCTCTTGTGGCAGAATTATAAGCAAGATAGGGCAGTTCTGTAAAGCAGCCTGAATTATCTTAGGCCTCTCTGTTTTGTTTCTCTCTCATAAGGCTTTGCAAGGCTTAGCTATTGTCATCTCTCAAGTCTCTCTCTAAGCCTGACAATGCATTCTCCTCTAAAAGAACTGTTTACATTTCTGAGTTCCAGCCTCTAAGCCAAAACATCTAGATATGAGGACCTGTGACTCCAAGCTCCTGCCTTGATAGGGAGGGTGTTTTTATAATACCACGACTCTGGTCAGAGTGTTCTGGTTAGAAAAGAGAGGGGCCATCCGATTTCTTCATTGACAGCTAATCTGGATTCTAAAGGTATTTAACACCAGTGTTTGAGATCCTAAGGGCCCTCTGCCAACACTTTGGTTTAGGTCTTGCCTGAGCAGCCAGATGTCAGACTTTCAGTTTCACTTCTCTTCGGTTTGCTTCACTGCTTGCCATACATCTGGGGGTGGGGGGGCTGTTAGGGGGAGAGTGTGTGGAATGAATGCCTGCTTGTAGCCATAACCATCTTTTAAGCTTTGCCCCTCAGCCGGTTCACATGGCTTTGAAGATTCCTTAGCCTGGCTAGAAAGATAAGACACCATATATCTGTCAAGGAGCCATGGTAACACTAGGGCTGACTGCTGGCGTATGTGTGGGGTGTTAGGGGGTGTATTGGATCTCACCTATAACCTTTGGTTTTTGTGCACTTTCTTCAGTCCTGACAAAAGTTCCAGAGCCTGAATAAACAAATCTCTAATAAAGCATTTACTGCCAAAAATGATTGTGGAGAGTGTCTTAATGGGATCTGACATCAGAATGCATTCCTAATTAGATAATAATTTCTAAATGAATAATAAGTGCACTATTTGTTTATAAGTACTGATTTGTCTGCTCTCTTGAATACTGAAATTGCCACTTGCTTGAAAATTTGTGCTGTGTGGTTTATTTTCAGTAAATGGTTTTAATTTTGGAACAGGTTCTCTCTGTGTGTGTCTCTCTCAAACTATGGGCTCCTGCCAGGTTCAACCCCCCCCCCCCCATCGAGCCGGGTGGGAATGGGATTCCTAGGAAAATCTGAACTCTTAATTCCTCCAACACCTCTGAAAGGATGCTCATTTGCAGGTATAGCATGAGACTGGGCACTATTCTTTTGAAGCCATGTGGAGGGCAGTTCAGCCCAAGATAAGTAACTCTGAGCCCCAGTGATTTCAAGGGAAGAGATTTCAGCACACACCCAGTCCAAAGAAAATTACAAAGGTGGATTCTCCTTTCCACCACTCTGCACGTTCCCCCCCCCCATCCTTGCCCAAGGGAGGACGGGGGGGGGGGGTGGTCGTAGGGAGCTGTACGTTTTTTTAAAAAAGGGCCCTAGGGTAGAAATGTGAGCATTGCAGGGTCCCTTTTGCCCCTATTTTGGGTTTAAAGCAAATGTGTTTAAGGACAGAGTGACTTTGGCCATGTGCAGAGTTCCCTTCTGCCCTGTGCAAAGACAGTGCCTGTTGACTCAAGCCCTTCTCCTTGTGTCGTTCACCCAGGTGCTGTGCACGTTGACTGGTCACGAGCTGCCATGCCAGTTGGCTGCCCTCCAAGCCTACACTTCCAGCAAAAAATACCTGCGGCTGAACAAGGTCCCCGGAGCCTGGGACTACCAGCAATATGAGCCCCACATTGTGCCGAGCACCAAGAACCGGTAGGTGTTGCCCTTGCAGCTCAGCCCTGCGCGGTTGGACTGCTCTCTCCCCCGAGGGGATCCTCTCAGGTAGCGCTTTGGAATAATGGGTTTCCTAATGTGAGGCATTGGAGCTTCGGTGGCTCAAGTGGTTAAAACACCGAACTGCAGGCTGTGGAAGGTCAGTAGTTCAGCAGTTCGAGACCAGAGCTGCCGCATGACGGAGTGAGCTCCCGTCTCTAGTTCCAGCTCCTGCCAACCTAGCAGTTCAAGAGCAAGAAATTGCAAGTAGATAAATAGGTACCACTTCGGTGGGAAGGTAACAGCGTTCCGTGCGCCTTGGTGTTTAGTCATGCCGGCCACATGACCACGGAAACGTCTTCGGACAGCGCTGGCTCTTTGGCTTTGAAACGGAGATGAGCCTAGAGTCGGACTTGACTGGCTTTTGAGCAAGGGAACCTTTACCTTTAATGTGAGGCAAAATGTTCTTTTTATTTCAAAATACTTAGGTTAAAAGGAGCAACAGAATAATTTTATTCTTCTTTTCCAAAGGATTTAAATGTTGTCAGAAGCACAGTGAACAGATCACAAAGTAACACTTCGGCTCAGGCTGACCTAAAATATCTTCTTCCCAAATTACAGTGTGAGAGAATGGTGTGTACAAATTAACTTAATAATTCACAGAAACTTACAGCTAACTTCCCACATTTGAAGGAATGAGTTGAAACAGATTTATTTAAAACATTCATTAGCTGGCTTTCTTCCTTACAGAACTCAAAAGGACTTACAATACTATACAAAAATACATAAAACCAAATTTAAATGCTGTTTCTCGCATGCCTACCAGATGAGCTTCAGGGGGCAGTCAGGGATCTTAATCCCCAGGCAGGAACATGTTTGGCTGTCAGGCAGTCTCTCAGATGCCCCGGCCCCAAGCCTGCAGGACTTTAAAGGACAACACCAAACCCTGAATCAGGCTTGGGAGCAGATCAGCAGTTGGTTACTCAAACTCCATTTGTTCTGGGCTGTTTTCTGGGCCCAGTTTAGAACGCTATAAATCCCTAAGCAGTTTGGATATGTCCTTCCTTTTATTGTTATGCTCTTCTGACTGAAGGTCTTGAGCAAAGTCAGTACATATACAAGATAAAATACAGAGCAGTGCACATTTTAATACACCATGGCAGGTTAAAACCCATCTCTGTAATTGCATAAAGAAACTATAAGCGCTAAGAATTTGGCAACAAATCGTATTTCCCCATTAGTGTCTGCCAGCAAAAAAGAGATCACATGTGATTCAACAGGTAGCTGATGCTGACTCAAGATCGATGTATTCCAGAGGTCTCTTAATGGTGTCCATTGATCACAAAATAAGATGAAGTCATCTAGGATCTCTATTACTCCAGATGCACAGAAGCAGTAGCAGTTAGAACGTAGCGTTTGGGCGAAGTACCTCCTGAGCTCTGGAGCGGGCAGGACATTCAGTCTGCCTAATATAAAAATGTGCTGATGGCCAGCAGTTGGAAGGAGGAAGGATACCAGGGGGTTGGATATGTGCAGAAAGGATTGACTTGCAGCCGTGTGCCTCCACTGGCTGTCGTATGGAGGCAGGGGCTTCTTTACAGGGGCTTTCAGACTGTGGAACTCCTTGCCTAGGGAAGCCCAACAATTTCTGGCTTTGGTTATCAGGGAGCAGGTGAAGGTGGTGCTTTTTCACAAAGCATTCGGAATGTACTGAGTGCTATTTGTTATTTTAAGATTGAGGCATGTGGTTTATGCTGGTCTAGTTTGCTGTTTTAGATTTGTGATTGTGTATTAGTGATAGAATGGCTTTTAATGGATTTTGTTAACTGCCCTGTGGATTGATAGGCTTGATGTTTTAACATGAATGTCTTGTTTCTCCAGACATCAGCTGTTCTGCAAGCTCACCCTCCGGCACTTCAACAGAACTCCAGAACAAGTCCTGCATCATGTCCGAGGGCAGCGGTATCAGAAGGCTTTGAAGAGATGTAGGTTGTCCTGGCAACTATTGCTCCAGATATTTGAGGGTTCATTCTGGTTACTTCGTTAATAAATTAATTTACAGCATTTTAGTCTCTTTCTCCAGAAGCAGATTCAAGGTGGGCTACAATAGTAATATGATTTAAAAACCCACAAAGACCAACAAGCGTATATAATTCACCACTCAACGGCAGGGTCAAAAGCCCTCCAGAATAATTCCATCTTGGGCAACTTCTGAAATGGCCATGGAGGCTGTTTGGAGAAGGAAACTTCCCCAGAGGCATTTGATTCCAGGCAAGGCACTCCAAGATAAAATTCTCCCTCCTCAGTCTTTACAGTTCTAAGCTGACACCTGAACTCAGCTCCTAGAATGTCCATCCAGGAAAGTGCTGCTGGGGAATATTGAGGCGACAGAAACACCCTGCTGCTGGGTAATTTGGCCACCCCAAGAGCTGGGGCAAAGGCCACAGCCCCTTCTGAAGGCAGGTTAAAGGGGACAGCAGTGGTGCATTTCTGATGTGTGCGCCCCGCCCAGGCCACAGGAGCTGGGCTTGGAAGTGGGGGCAGTGAAGAAGCCATTCCCAGCTTCAGCACAGTTTCTGGGTTGGATGGGAAGGATTCCTTAGCCCCTTGTTCTCAGGCCCTAGAGGCCATGTCTGCTCTTGGGGGGG